GGAGCGCGCTCGATTTTTCCATATTCACTTTAAATCCAGAGAGTTCCCCATAATGTGCCAGGACTTCCCTCAATGCTGTCAAAGATTCCCTAGGTCTCGTAAGCGTCAGCAGGACGTCATCGGCGTAAGCCGCTACTAAAAATTCCCTGCCCCCCACCCGCACCCCGTGAATCCCCGGGTGTTTCCGTAGCGCCTGGAGAAAGGGCTCCAAGGATAATATAAAGAGCAACGGGGACAGTGGGCAGCCCTGCCTGGTCCCATTATGGAGGGGAAAGGGGGAAAGCGTCGCTCCCGAGACCAGCACCTGTGCTCGAGGGTTACAATACATGGCCTGTACCACGGTAATGTACTCCTTGGGGAAACCCAAGTGTCGTAGCACCGTAAACATATACTGCCACCGCACTCTATCGAAAGCTTTTTCAGCATCAATAGAGACTGCCAGTGTAGGTGTATTCGTCATCGTTTGTTTCCAGATGAGATCAATATTTCTACGGGTATTTTCAAACAATTGACCGCCAGGGATGAAACCCACTTGGTCAGGGTTAATAAGATGTGTCAAGTATGGGGAGAGTCGCTCGGCCAGTATCTTAGCTAGGATCTTCATGTCCTGATTTATAAGGGAAATGGGCCTATAACTCTCAGGCCTCAGCGGGTCCTTATCCGGTTTAGGTAGCAGTACCACTGAAGCTAAGGTCATGTCCGGGGTCAGAGTGCCCCCAGACCGAAAATGATTAAAAAGTTTTCGCATATGGGGTACCAGCTCCTCCCTAAATGTCTTATAGTAGGTGCCATCAAACCCGTCTGGTCCCGGGGCCCTATTTCCCCCCAGCTCCCCGATCGCCCTGTCCACCTCCTCGTCCGTTATCTCAGCTGCCAGTTGTGCCCCGACCCCTCCCGGTAGCTTCGGTAGCCCCAGGCCAACTAGATATCTATCGATGCGGTCCACCTCCTGGGTGCCTCCCTGGACGTCCGTGGGTGTGTGATTATACAATGTCCGATAGAAGTCCCCAAAGACTTCTGCTATCTCCCTAGGCATAGTCCTCAAGGACCCGTCAGCATGTCTGATGGATGTGATGTGCGTACGGCGCTGCCGAGGCCGTAGAGTCCTGGCTAACATAGTGTCCATTTTATCCCTTTTTTCGTAGTAAAATCGTTTAGTCCACGTCAGGGACCTAGCTACATCGTCTAACAACAGGGTTCGTATTTCGTGTCTAATAGTCTCTACCCTTCTCAATGTGTCTCCTGTGGAAAGCGTCTGGTGTCTCTGCTCTGCCCCCTTCAAATCCTTAAGGAGCCTCTCTAGGGTTTGTGTTTTTGTTTGTGTTTTTTTTCCGGCTTGTTGCTATGCGTATAAGGGTTCCCCTTATTACCGCCTTGTGGGCTGCCCAGATCGTGGGTACACTAACGTCAGGTGTGTCATTAACCTTAAAGAACTCCACTATCTCATTATGTAGTTGTTCCGTAATTGTGGGGTCCCGCAGCAATGAGGTATTAAGCCTCCACGTCCAGGGAGTCGCTGCACATAGATTCCCAAGGGTTATTGTAACCTCAGCATGATCAGACCTCGTAATGGTCCCTATCGTCGAGTCCGTGGTCCGGGCGAGACAACTACCATTGACTAAAAAGAAGTCGATTCGGGAATAGGTGCCATGTGGGGCCGAGTAATAAGTATAGTCAACCGCACTCGGGTTATGGGCCCTCCAAATATCCACTAAACCTGAACCTGTGATAAACTCCTGTAGCAGTTTATCTTGTCTCCCCCTGCCCTGCGACCGGGGCACACCTTTGTGGGTACTTCTGTCTACTGCCGGGCTCGGCGTTGCATTAAAATCCCCTCCTACCATAATCATGCCCTTTGGTAACTTCTGGAGCTTATCTCCTAAAGTGGTCCAGAAGTCCGGGTCTGGACAGTTGGGAGCGTACACGTTCACCAAGTGGAGGGTATGGGAGTAAAGCACTCCTGACACAATGATATAGCGTCCCTCTCCGTCTGCCTCCGTCCCAGTAACCTGCAGTGGGCAGCTACTGCGCACTAGGATGGCCACCCCATTGCGCTTCCGGTGAGCTCTGGCCTCATACGAGGCCGAATAGGTATGATCCCTCAGAGGGAAGCGTCCCAGTTTGGGGAGATGGGTCTCCTGAATAAAAGCAATATCAGCTTTCGTTCTCTTCAGCTCTCGAAAGAGCAGTCGCCGTTTGGTCGGAGCGTTAAGGCCCCTCACATTCAGCGAAGTAAGTTTAACCGTCATGATAACCTTCCAAGACCCATGCTATGGAAGCAGACCCCCCCGGTCCCCCCCCCACCCCTCTCCCAGCGCCCCCGCCCCGAAGAAGTAGAGAGAAAAAGAGAGAAAACGAAAAAGGAAGAATTAGGTAACATGCTCATGTCTCGCACTGATAGGCTCACAACAAAATTCCTGGTCTTACTAATCGCCAGGTGTGATTGGGGAGTACGCCCCCTGTGGTCACCCACGCACTGCATCCGCGAGTGTCGTGGGTCCAAGTACCTCAATCCGTTTAACTCTGTAACGCTATTGGAAATTACTAGTGTGATCGATTTGTGTAACACCCTATCCCGATAATACCCAATCTCTATTAACAACTATAACCCCAGATATTTATCTTCACCTATCGGCTCTATCTTCCTCTCCCTCGGGCCTACCCCGAGCCCTGGATATCGCATACCCTTCCCACCCTCACTCTCTAGGCTCCCTTTGCAAAATAACCAATACCGGGGGAGGCTAATTCCAGTGTCTCCTCTAGTCCCCTATATACCGTCCTACCTGGCTGGAGATTCCCCCTCTAAGGCCTAGATACTTCTCCTTCCCTTCCCGAGAACTGTTAGTGAAGCCCCTGCCCCCAAGGTGATAGCCTTACCTGGGTCTGCCCCTAGTCAGGAGCGCTACCCATCCTCTGCATATTTTAAGTACCACCTGTCCTCGTCCCCCCTCTGCCTCCGCTCAGCCCCCATCCTCCCGGATTCCTGTGCTGCTCCACCTGGGTGTTTTCACCCCTAGGGCCTGTGGGCCGTCCATGTCGAACCCATCGTCTCCGTCTGATCCCCACCATCCTAAAGTCCCTTGAGCAGTCCCCTCTGCCCCTCCCCTGATCCGTCTCCCCGGGCTAGTACCTCCAGACTCCCAGCTCCCAACAGGTTGCAAAGTCCAACCGCTTCCCTGGGCCCTATGCCCTCGAGACCTCCCTCCTTGTCCCCCAGCTGCCATGTGGGAGGCCCACCTCTCCCGGTTCACTCCTCACCCCTCCGCACCCCGCGGGGAGATTGATAGCTCACTGCCTCCCTGGGCATGAGGGACACCTGGGCCGCGCTTCCCCCCCTGTCTCCATGCACCGGGGCCTTGTGGTGCCCCTTGCCATCTCGCCTCAGGGTCTCCCTCTACCCAGGAAGCCCCCATACTCTCTGTCCCCCATAACTGGGGTGCCCCTCTTGTCCCTCCGCTCTGTGTACTCCGAGCATCCTCATCCCCTGAGTCCAGTGGATTTGCACAGTCCAGGGTAGCGTTCCCTCCTCGGGGACTTAAATCCCAGACCTCCCTTCCCATCCCCCTTAGCCCTCCCCACCTAATGCCTAAGCCCTCCAGCAGGTGCATACCCTCCCCCTTATAGGGTAACTCTCTCACCCACAGCCTCCTCCTACCTGTCCCATGCCCGGTACCCGGCTTCAACATATCGCCCGGCATGTCTACCGCATCAGCAAAGAGACGCCTAGGGTCTCCCCCTGGCAGTAGCACATGCACCCGGCCATCCTTAAACCTCATGAGACGGAAGGGGAAGCCCCATGCATAGCGTATGCTAGCCCAACGTAGGGCATCCGTAATAGACTTTCACTCCCGCCGGCGCTGGAGTGTTCTGGGCGCCAGATCCTGATACAGGGCAATGGTGGCTCCTCCATATTTAATCTCCGTATCTCTACTTTTGCGCAGCAGGGCTTCTTTGGTGGTATAGTGCAGAAAGCGGACAATGATGTCTCTGGGCGCTTTTCCGTCGGGGCGCCTGGTCCTTAGTGCCCGGTGCGCCCTCTCAAGCTGCCACTGGCTGTCTGGGATCTCTGGTAGGATTGGCTTAAAGATGGTGAGGAGGAGATCTGCCAGGGGTCCCTCTCCCTCTCTTTCAGGTAGCCCCCTGAAGCGCAGATTATTGCGCCAGGATCTGTTTGCTGCATCCTCCAGCGCCAAATCCACTTCATATAGGTGCGTGGTGAGAGTGTTTACTTGTGTCACTACATCATTATGTGCCCGCACAGTCTCCTCCATCCGCTCCTCTAGCTGCCCCGTTCTGGCGCCAAGCGCCTGCAGCTCTGTCTGCAGGACTGTCGTGGACCGCTCAATTTCCCCAGCTAGATATACTTTTAATTCTGCCAGCTTTGCTAATATGGTTGCTGTATGTCCCTGGGTCGGTTCCTCGTCCTCCCCACTGCGTGGCGGGGTCCGGGAAGGAGTGCGGCCTTCCCCGGCGCCATTTTGTGCCTCTGCAGGGCCCCCCTTACTTCCCAGCATCAGGTCGAGGACCGAGGCTGCAGACTCCATACCTTTTTTGGAGCTCTTCTTGGGGTTTCGTTTCTCCATCCTAGGAGGGTGTTCAGCTTCCGAAAAAGTGCTGTAAGAAGCTATTTAACAGCGTCGTCGGAGCAGAGCTTCACCCCGCCACGTCTAGCCTGCTCCGAGGTTAGGCCACGCCCCCCACTTTCTTGGTTTTAATGCAAACTCACAAGTAAGCCAGGCTTCAGCAGGGACCCTTTAATATAGGCCACTATGATAACCACACTATGTTGCCAATTCTTCTGTTTTATAGCAAAGTTTGTGTTTTGTTATGCTGCACAATCATGCACCCATGGCCAGTGGTTACATCGGAATATAGAATGGTGTGAGCCACTTTACTTCATTTTGCTTTTTCCCCCCCTGTATTTCTGATAAAGAAAAGTACCTTCCGGATTCTGTACTATTCATTTATTGCTTCTAAATTATGCAAAAAAAGTCTGGACTGTTTTCTACTGGTATTCTGTGGAGATTCACTCCTCCTGACTGGCGACACCATGATCAGCCTGTCTCTTATGGCATGTGTGATAAGGTGTTCTCCTGAGTTTATGTATACTGACACATATGTCTTGTTAATATTTGTTTTGATTAAAAGGAGCAATATAAGCACAACAACTTTGGCATAATGGAGTTGTTTTGGTGTGTAGATCATGTCCCTGCTGGCCCACCTATCCAGAGGAAGAGTTGTCAGTTAGCACTGTGTAGTTTGACATTACGCTGAAGGACTTTTTGCAATACTTACCCAACTCCTGGCTTTAGCAGACTGTTTTTCCTCTGGCCATTACTCATTGTTTATGCCCAACTATAGACTATGCTGATTGTGTGTCCTGTCTTCTGCCTCTTTAAACCTACATTTTTATATTTAACTTTTAATACATACAAGCTCATTCTCGTTCTACATTCTTCTGGTCTCTCAACTGGGATTAATTAGGATACTCCTATGTTGGAGTCAATGTGTGTATGATTAAGGTGAGACTAAACACTCAGAAAGTATTTTTTGTTTGCAATTTCCCCTGCTCTCCATCTATATGTTGGACCAGCAATACTGCCAAAGTGCAACCGCAGGCCCCCACCAAACTAAGGTACAGCGGTATGACAGACATTAGTTCTGCTGGCTAATAGTCTATCCTTATTTCAGATTGTTGAACGTGGTAGTTTTAAGGAGCCTTTTAGTCGGATTTGTGTGAGTTCGTTTTTACCCTTATGCCCCTGTGCAGGAATTTAGTGGACTTAGTTTGGCCACTTTTGGCAGCTGTGCTTATCACATGCAGTGTACACAATATTCACTTTGATTGAATCAATATGTTACAACTATTATGGACCTCAAATTTTAGATAGAAGTACGAAAAAAAAAAAAAAGAAACCCCCACACCAACCATCAATTAGTTTTACTCCAGAAGGCCAATCTTTACCAAAGCTGCAGGTACACAGACTCCTAGCAACCCTTTAGATTACCATTTTGATAAAATGGTCTTTTCATCTCTTGATCTTGTCAAAAGCAATGACATTTACCCAAGTCTTTATAGCTCCAAAAATTGTATTCTGCCAGATAATGGTCTAATTTTACTGTTTCAGGAAGTTTGTTATGCTAGAGTTGTCAAGTTGAATTAAACTGTAAGATACAATAACCAGTATGATCAAAAAAAAAATAAAATAAAGTTTTCGCACACCTCCCCTCTTTAGATTTCCTGCATCATTCAATGCATTTCAGTAATCTTTAGGAATAACATTGCAATAAAGAAGTCTTTTCACTAGTTTATTCTTTAACTAATTTGGTACATCAGTTTCATACAGGTAAAGACAATACTAAATCACAATATGCTCAGCATGTAATTTTATGCCCTACGTTGCCATGAGATCCTGCTAACCATTCAGTTGTAACATTTCAACCAGTTTCTCATGAGTGAACGACCGGTTTAACAAATTGGGCAGCACACAAGCCACTTGTCTACAGATGTACCACATAGTGCAACACCTTTCACAGAACAGTGTTGAGGAGGGATGTCAAGGTTTGATGAGCAGTTAGTTGCGAAGTGTACCTTCCACATAACAGGGTAGGGATTTACTATAGTGCTTGTGACAGATGATAAGATGGGCAACATCAGTACAGCCACCTGATCATTCTAACAATCTTCATAGAATTCCACATAAACATTTCCTCCTGTAAAGTGTTAGAGTAACTGCAGTTATAGCAGTATGCATCTTTGCTTTATTGGAATGAAACCAAACTGTAGATCTTCAAAAATAAAAATTCTGCTAGGAAAATAAATGCAAGATTTTCTGAATCCCATCCCAATACCACTTCCATGACCAACTAGAACTGCAAAGAGATCACATTAGCTGTGTAAGGTTATGCCGTGTCTAAACCACAAAATGGCTGTAAGAGGAAGGAAGCAGAGTGGAGGGGTTCTGTGGGTTAGTGCTTTGTGGTCCAGTGTGTTCAGTATGCGTGGTTGGCCACATACAGGGACTGGCCAGCTGCCCCTGATCCATCACTACTGTGCTCGTACAAGCCGCAGGCTGCAAGGCCGTTCACCTGCAAAAAAGAAGATTTTACAGAATCAGAAATACTGAGATATTTACTAGATATCCTAGTTTCAGATCATTTTGTGCAACTCCAAGTCAATAAAAAGGTATAACAGTGTAGAACGAACAAATAGAAGACAGTGGGTAGTACCCTTACTTATATATAAAACAAATAGCGTCCAGGTATAACCAACTATTTCCAGTACCAAAGCGAGACTCCAGGGGTCTCTAGGGGCTTAACCCCAATATACAAAAAGAAAAGATAGGGATTTCTATCAATGTTGTGTTGTGATCATATGCATCACCTGGACATATAGTCATACTGATATGATAGAAGTAGATCAAAACGTGTATAAGGTACCCAGTATCAAATGAATATTTATGAGGAGATTAAAAAAAAAAAAATAAATCAATAATAGTTAAATAACCACCTAATAAGGTATGCTCCTATTTACAAATAGTCTAACTCCATAATCCTAAAATGAAGGTAAGTGTCAAATATCATGAGCTTTATTTGTATATGTATTGCTCCTATTATCCAATAACATAACCCTAGGAATATACTAAACTAAGTCCTCCTCTTATGGTATAGATCATGTATCGGTCTGTAATACCAGTAGAAAATTGCCTTAGAGGATAGACACTGTCAAATAGTCAAAAAAGGGGAGAAAACTTGAATGAAAAAACAAAAAATAAAAACACAAAGACCAACAAAAAAAACCAAAACAGCTGCCTGTTATTAATTTAACTAGCCTCTCTCCCTGGTAAACTGACTAGACAGGTATAGGAGCAAAGAGAAAGAATAAAAGGGAAAAAATAAAATAAAAGATAGCATCTTAATCAAACTGATATGTAAACATTGCAGTGTCCATAAACACTATAGAACGCTCGAGTTGGTGCTTCGGTAGATGCACCTTTGTCAAAGGCAAATCTACTAACCTAGAGCTCACTCAAGTACCCTACTTCAGTGGTGTGTCTGCAGACAGCCAATGGGATAACCAGGCAGGGTGGGAGGGAGTATATCACACATGTGTGATGTTATTTTTGAGTTAGAGCATAAAAAAAAAAAAAAAAAAAAAAATCTTATGATTGGCTAAACAGTCTCTAGAGGGGAGGAAATCTCAGTACCGCCCCATGTGGTGTATAGGGGTGGGATTGAAGTGTATTAAGAGTCTGTGTGCAGATGCAAAAGTAACCCGTATTAATCTATGTCACTGAACGGACCTTACATTATAAATGATGGCTCCCATCACCATTCTAAAGATTATATATATCCTGTATATATTCATCTGCCACCAGGAGAGACACAATCATAATACCGGTGTGTGGCATAAAGCATCCACGCATGTACCGTCCGCTAAACACCACCCCCTTTGATTGTCTGTAAGAGATGTTATAATGCCATAACAAGGCGTGCAATGGATGAGAGATCCAAATTCTCATACAAACAGGTTACCTCTGCACGTTTCAAGAATTCCTCAGCGGCAGCATCCTCGTTCTCTTTCTGGCCACGCCAGACATTTAGTGCAGAAGCCTGCAGGGCACGCCCATAAGAAAAGGTAAGTGCCCATGGACGAAGCAGAGGGCAATTGTTTATTGCATTCAAATTAATAGAAGCTTCCTCTTCACTCTGCCCACCAGAGAGGAAAGTAACTCCTGAAACAAAAACGTAAGACAATTCAGATATTCGTTTCCTTTAGTTCATGTAGAGTAATTTGTGGGACTAAATATTACTGCATTAATATGGTGCAATAAAGTTATACCCACACTTTTCAAGATATACTATTTTATCTGACCCAAATAGCTTGTAGTTAAACCATTTTTTTTTTTTTTTTAAACGCAAAAACCAGAGTGCAAGAGAGTACAGAGACTGACAACAGCTCAAATAGCCTGAACCTTTGGTGGGTCTCTGAACAGATCTCAAGCTGGTTTAAGCTCATCTTGTGTTCTTACAAAAAAAAAAAAAAAAAAATACAAAAACCCCAGACAATCTTTTTAGCCTTGTTTGGCATAGTCTGTGAAGTGTAGCTGATATCCCTTTCTCACAGGGCCTAGAGAGATCTTCTATACCTCCCTGACAATGCCAAACAAGGCTAAAACGATGTCTGGTGTTGCAGTGTCTCTTGTACAGAGAGCCGGCCTGCATGTCGGTATGGACTGCCCTTTTTGGTGGCATCAGTCTGATCTGCAAATAGCCCAAGAGGAGCTAAAAACCAAACTTGCGATCTGAGTGGGGACCCACTGAAGAGCAGTCTAGTTGAGTGGTTGTCAGTTCTCCATACTCTTGCATCCTGGTTTTTCTTAACCAAGTATTCTAATTCAACATAAAAAACTATTTAAAGATAGAATTTGTGACAACAAATCTACACAGTAGTAACAATCAGTGATCATGCAACAGAAAATGGTTTCAAACATGTCAGAATATAGTTCAGAGTAGGCAATGGAATCTGGATAATTAGCAATTTAGTTACTGGCTCAAAGAATTTACCATCAATGAAGCAACATTTAATGGTCTTAAAAACCATTTAATATTTGATAGTATGAATTTTCACCTCAGTTATAAGGTTTGATTGTTTACTCTAAATTTGCAATATTAAGTTGTGTAGAACCAAGTAGACCTAGAATTATGTAGAATATAAAAGCCATCTAGTTTCACTTGCTTACCTGTTACTGCAGGGGGCACAGTACGACGCAGTGCAGTTACAGTTGCCATGGCAATCTCCTCAGAAGTGTATTTGTTGGGACAAGCATGCCCAGCGGTTACCATATTAGGTTTCAGGAGAGTTCCCTCCAGATACACATGGTGATCACTCAGAGCTTTGTACACAGCAGCAAGTACCTGGATTTGCAAATAACAGTCAGTTACCAGAATAAAGTTAAAGTAACATTGCAATGATATTTACTTTTTTTCATATAAAAAAAAAAAGTGACAAAGCCAGGTATGATCATGGCTGCAGCTGAACCCCTGGAAGCCTTTGAATGCACTAGATATATCCCTCTGACCATGTATGGTGCCAATGTGTTTTAATAGAGCTGTGTCCTACAAACTCACCTTTTCAGTCACATATTGGCAACGCTTTAGGTCGTGGTCTCCATCAGGCAGAATCTCTGGTTCCACAATTGGAACAATTCCATTCTACAAAAGAGACAGATTCATTCATCAAATACAGATCTTTGTTTTGGGTTTCTCCCACTGAATGCAACCAGTTATGCGATTGTTGATAGCCAAGCACCATGTAGAGAAAAATTTATAGAAAGCCTTAAAACGTATTAGCATTACACCTTCCCAATAAATATATTCCAACAAATGGGACAAAAAAAAAAAAAAAACAACCAAAAAACACACAAGTAGAGGGATTATTCCAATGGTGCGTCAGATGGACTACATACACTGTATAGAACTAAAAGCTATGTAGGCGCACAAAAGGGTTAAATCAAAAGGCAGTTATAGAAAGATGCAACATTTGATAAAAACTGACTGGGGTTAATAAGTTGCCTCAGTTTCAGACACAAATGCTCTTCAGATTACCTGTTGGCAAATGCTGGCATAACGAGCAAGTACATTGGCATTTTCCATTATAGCAAGGGAAGATGGAGTGTTCTCACTAATCTTCAGCACAGAACGCCACTTTGCAAAGTCAGCACCATCTTTCTTATACTGAGCACAGCGCTCTGCCAATCCATCCAAACCTAAAACAATTTAGGAGGGTCAGACAGCTTACTGAAAAGCACAATTCACACCACGATCAGCATTCCTTCCACTGTTGCACTAGATGCCATAATAGGAAGCCACCACTACAGTATAAAGATCAAACTTCTATTAAGTGTTAAAACACACGTTTCAGTTAGTGTGCCACTAGTATTTTGATTGCAAAAAAAATAGTTAGAAAAAAAAAATCCTTAGACACTATAGCATTAGAATAGAGACCTGTATCCCAAAGCTAGTTTTCTACCCCCTATTTAGATTCAGTGCCCACTAGATGGGGGTTAACTTGTGTCTTTCCCCCCAGCTCACTCTGTGCAATCATCCACCTCTATCATGAGCATTTGATTGGATGAGAAGAGAGCACTGAATCCAGTGCTGATAAGCAATAGAGGACGTGCAATGAGCAAGAACAGACATCACATGACAGTGAAAGCATCAGCTAGTGGCAGTCAGGAAGACAGCCATGAAGTGTCTTTATCCCTGCAATAAACTAGCCAAATCTACAAGACCGCAATGTTTTACATTGCAGGACCACTGCATCTTAAGTGGTGCCTATGGTGGTCAAAATATACAGCTCTTTAACCCCCATAATTATTTACAAGTGACTATCACCAATCCAAACCATCTTGAAAAAGTAATCACCATTATTTTACCAAGTCATTGAGAGCTTGATGTAAGCCACAGATACCGTCATTGGCATAGATTCACTTATAATAATGAATTAGTTTCATTACCTTGAGTAGTGGTTTCTCCATCGGTACCAGCAAGAGGAACTACACCTTTGTCTACCTGTTAGAGACAACCAATAAAATAGTCTGTTGTCATTTCAGTCAGTTATACTAGATTTGCTTAGATAGGTTTGGATAGTCAGGAGAAATACAACGACATGTGTTCAGCCCATCACATAACAGCTGCTGCCTAGTAATGTGGAAAATTCAAGGTACTAGAGATTCCATAGAAACAAGGATAGAAGTGATAAGCTGCTGTTATTGAAGCAGCTTCTGCACAGAGTGCTAATAATAGAACTCAGTGAGCTCTCCTTTATATGTCCTTGTAAACCACTGGCATCTCAAGAGAATGGGACTGGTGTTTAGGCTTTATAAATGGAATGCTGCATTAAAGGAACATTAGAATTAAGATATCTGCAAGTATAGAAGTCATTTAGTTTAGATTTAAGACCTCATTAAATCAAAATCACGACCCTTGATCAGTATATGGAAATCACAAAATGTAAAAGGTCTTATTAAGAAAGCGACTCTAGTGTCAGTAATGTTTTACAGTGCCCAAGAAAAGGGGCAGCATCGATTTAGAATATAATGGTCTCAGTGTCCCCTTTAAGACTACTGTACAAGAGAGTGTTTTATTTACAGTCACACTTTCAACTAACTGTTATCCAATACTATATTCGTTAGACAATTTAGCCATTCAAGATTCATGATGAATCCATGTGTCAAGTACAAAGTTGGCCCACAGCAGGGATGTTTGTTCAGCAAGCTCAGTTCTTCTGTGATTAACTATCGGTTTAGACAAAGCAAAGTCTCACCTTAATCCCTACAACAATGCCTTTATCTTTGATCATCTTAACAAAGTTGGTGCCGCAGTCTCCCTGTTGGTACAAGGTTTCATGGAAGAAGATGACACCACCAATGCATTTCTTCATACGATCATCACCCTTAAAAAGTAGCTGCCGGTACAGACGTCTGTTCTCTTCTGTATTCTCTACTCCAATTCCACTAAAACGTTTGGCCATACTCCCTAAAAGCAAGGCAAAACCAAACCACAAAATTAGGGTTTTAAATAGAGAGCATTCACACGGTCAGGTTCCAATATAAGCAGTGCTATAGAGTCTTCAAAAAGCCACAATGCTGGCTAAATTAATCTTGCACTTTCAGTAATGTGATTCATTTAGAAAGTTTTAATAAGTAATGACAAAAAAAAAAAAAAAAAAAAAAAAGTTGATCAGGCAACATTTTAGCTCATATAGGAGCCTCATGCCACCAAATGAGTCATCTGACTGCTGACATTTAGGAGATCAACACCTATCAAAATGTGTTCCACAATGTTAGAGTACCCAAAGAGACATTTCAGATTATATTTTACTGCAACTGCATGTTAACTTAAGAGGTAGGAACAGTTAAGAAAATCTTTAGACAGTTATGTCGTTAAGACATTTAAATATTAGGAATTACACAGCATGTTTTGCTCCAGTATAGCAACTCTTACCCCACTTCTGTTAAGGGGGTTCTAATGTGGGTATATAAAAAGTTAGACTATATGAGGGGTGATTTGTTACATACTAAATACAGGACTATAGAGCAGGGGTAGGCAGCCTTTGCACTCCAGATGTTGACTACCTCTTCACTGTTGCATTAGGGAGATTTAGTCAACAACATCTGGAGTGCTGAATGCAGCCTACCCATAGTAGGCACCGTCACCCCCATGGTTTGAGTGTTATTTCAAAAATGTGTTTTATTATAATTGGCTGTTCAGTATTCCCCACTGTCTGCAGTTTTAACCATTTTTCATTAATATAGATGGAATTTTATAAAAAAAAAAAAAAAAAAAAAACCAAACAAACCTCCTTATGCATAAGATTATTCTTTTTACCATCTCCTCCCACCAGGGGCGTACCTAGAGCATTTGGCACCCGGGGCGGATCCTGTGCTTGGCACATCCCCCAACCCCCCCCCCAAAAAAAAACAAAAAAAACCCACGTAAAATTTTAAGGTTCTCTTTTTTTTTTTACAATTTGTAAAGACTCCTGTCCCAATACAAAACCCCCGCCCCCTTCTACAAAATCCCTGCAGCCCCACACACACTTACAGACAGTCACACATACACATTTCCTCCGTGCGGCCAGTTTATCAGCTGTTTGCTTGTGTGAGCTGTACTGGCCGCACGGCACCCTAACTACCATGGGACACTGTGCGGCCACAGCTCACACAGCCCCCTCCAGCCAGGGCCGGTGCAAGGATTTTTGCCGCCCTAGGCAAAAGTAAAGTTTGCCGCCCCCCCATGTGACATCACAATGCCCCACCCATATGATTTGCCATGTTAACTAACGCCAGTGCTGCAGTGCCGCCGTGTTTACATTAAAAGGCCTGCAGGGACAGGCTATAGACACCAGAACCACTACATTAAGCTGAAGTGGTTCTGGGGACTATAGTGTTTCTTTAATGTGAGGTAAATTAGAGCTTAGTGCCACGAATAATATACTAGATTGCCTACTTACAACCAGATGAGGATGATGATGGGCTCTAGCTGCAGTCTGGCTCCACTGGTCTGGTGCAGAACAGGCTCTCTGGAGGCGGTTTGTAACTGTGGTCACAAAAATCAATGTTCTGGGAGAACGGGAAGCAGCTCCATTTTTTGGGGGTCCTTTACACAGCTCAAGGTCTGGGTCCCAGGGTCCACCTTCATGTTCCACCAATGAGTTTGTTCACAGGGGGTGGAGTGTGTAGGGGATGTCCTGATATGTGTGTAAGGAATGCATTGTGTGAAATTGTGTTTGTATGTGTAAGGGCTGCAAGGTGTGTTTCTGTGTATGTATGGGATGCATTGAATGTGTGTAAGGGGTGCATTGAGTGTGTGTAATGAATGCATTGCGTGTGTGTCTGTGTGTGCAATGCATTGTGTGTTTTTCCTGTGTGCAAGGGGTGCATTGTGTATGTGATGAATGTCAATCTCTCCTCCCGCTCCAATTTCCTTCTCCTCCTCCCCCCAATTTAATTATTTTTAGAATACTTTATTTATGGTTCTTTATTAGTCAGCCTGTAGAAGTGTATTGTAAATTTAGAAAAATAATGTAACAAGTAGCACGTTTAATAAACCGTAATACTCACCTACAGATTCATCAGCGGCAAGGATTCCCTTCCCTTTCTCTACTATCCGATGGGCTATGTCGGACAACTCCTTTTTCTGGTCTGAGGAGAGTGCTGGGTATTGGTGAGTCATTTTCTTTGTTCTGATTTTTTTTTATGGAAAGAAAATAAAAATTAGATGGTTACAGAATAGGATCCCATTTTTGGTTAAATAAGAGTAACTAGTACGAATTTTGTAAAAAAGAAATGTTTATTTTAAACATAGCTATGGTACATTTGTCTCACTTGAAAAGACAAAAATATGAATCAGGTTTATCCATAAAAGAAGCCACTGCCAGAGATAAATGTACTGCATTATGAGCATTTGAGATTAGCAAGAGTGCAGTAGCCACGAATCCATGCCGGTTGTCCTCTACAGACACCTTGAGCCTAGTGTTTCCTTAATCAAACTTAAGATTTTGACTGTCCAAGGATTGTAGCCTTGGAATGCAGTAAAGAGATTAGTTATCAACATTGTAAAGCTCTTTGAAACTTGAAATTCTAAGCAAATCTTTATACTCCCATACTGCTACCCAAACCCACGTGTAAAGAAAACAAGGCATGAACAGTTTGCAGAAAACAAAAAATACACACACACACTTATGATGGAGTAGCACATGGTTCCTCTCCTTTTTTTTTTCTTTTTTAAATAAATATTCAATTCATTTTTGTTGTGCAGGGTTACAATCACAAATAGGAGTGTACATGTCTAGATTAGTAAAACATACATATAGCGGGACATTAGACAATATTACATCAAATATACGCAGAACAGTGATATCTTAAAGTAGAGCAATAATATATTTGCAGAGAGATTTAGAAAGTTTGCTGCACATTGTGAACTAAAAATAAGTCATTATTAACTGCACATTTGTAAAATAAAAATCTTAACCAACCATTTAGCTTCGATACATGGCCTCCGATTTACGTAGCTAGTACTGGTCAAGTACATGCACATGATACAAGGCCAACACAAATATTAATCAATAGAAGATGAAAAGTTGCCAACTTGGTATAGCTCAAAGCACCAGTCAGGTTTTAGTTAACCGATACCTGGGCAGGAGAATATGGAATGGTATTTTAGGCCCAAACCACCAAAATATGCATATCTGCCCCATTACCCCACAGGTCAGAGTCCCCAGGGATAGTCCTCCATCCCAGTAGGAGAACAACAGGCCTCACCAGTACTGATTTTTCTCTTTAGTCGGTCCTCACACCTCAGTCAGTCCTTACATTGAATTGACTCCTATAGGATATAGGAATTCAAAGTGCTAACCCATACCTATAAAAGCAATGAACAATTCTAGCCCCTATTATATCTTTTCACAGATCCATAGGTATGCCCCTTCTTGGTCTCTCCGCTCTGCTCATGACCTTCTCCTGTGCATTGTTCGCACCCGTACGGCCAACTCATGCTTGCAGGACTTCTTGTGGGAGGCTTCCTTCCTCTGGAATAGCCTGCCTACCGCCAGACTCTCCAGTCATTTAAGAAATGCCTTAAAACCCATCTCTTTAGGAAAGATGGGGGCCTCCCTAAGTGACCACCTCATATATCAGTCTCTTGCCATCTCCTGAAGGGCAGCACTCTACTCTCTCCTCCAGCTCTGCCTCACTCACACCTGTCCTAGTGTGTTTTATACCCCACCTCCTATAGACTGTAAGCTTGTTTGAGCAGGGTCCTCTTCAACCTATCGTTCCTGTAAGTTTTCTTGTAATTGTTCTATTTATAGTTAATTTTCTCCCCCCCCCCCTCCCCCATAATAAAGCACTACAGAATATATTGGAATAATAATGGTAAGGAAGGATGATGCGCACTCTTCTAGTTGGCACCATAAGCAATCACAGACCGCATTAAAAGTTAATGTCACGGCTGCCATGTTGCCTCCATTGAGGGCTCTGTCATAGGTGAACAAGGCATTCTGCTTAGGGGCCCAGTATCCAGGATATGCCAGCCATTCTAGTGTGGACTGGGATGACCCCCACCAGGGGGTTACTGAGCTCACCAACCTTTAAATGGTAGCGATAGGATGGGAGCAGTTTAACTCAGCACTCAAGGCCTAGTAAAGCAGCCCAATGTTTAATGGATTCATATAGATAAGTGAAGTAGGATTCACGTCAGAGGAACTGCCCAACGGTTTCCAGGGAGAGGCCCAAATTGTCAGGTTTCATTTTTTGGTGGGACCCATTCTCAACTATAACCCATACAATGTATTGATCAGTTGTGGAGTCCCTTTAAAGGGGAAACCCATGTCATCTTAGTGAAGTAGTTTTGGTACCTAGAACCCATCCCCTTTTCTGACAATATTTCTACTAGCCATCAGACAGCCAGCCATTTGAGGAACTTCCTCAATGAAACACCTTTGAGTGTCAAGGTCATGATTCTCTATAGGAAGAATAAGATTGGTGGGTGTGGTGATGGCCATGTGTGCAAAATATGGACCACCTGTCCTTTATTAAAAATAAATACAATTTAAAGCCACTAACCAGCACAATCTTGCAATTCACCCTGCAATTAATACATTACATGTTTAGAGTTAACCATTCTTTTGTTTAAAAATAAATATTTTAAATTTAAAACAAAAATAAGACCACTCAAACCATCTAATTTGTTATAGGAAATAAGGGCATTAAATGCAGGTTATATATTCCTGCAGGACATGGTCCTGAGAGATTCAAATGAAGTGTTAAAGCAATTAATGAGCCAAGAAACTCAGCTCTGACATCAAGCTCTGGTTCCCATAGTAACAGGTAGAGAAAAAAAAAATGTAAAGTTATTTTTTAGTGTACTGATACATTGCTGGGCTCTTTGGTTGTCAGTTTCTGTTACAATCTTGGCTTCGTATAGCCTGTTCTATGTATGAATGACATTTTGATACCATGCCATAGAAAAGTACGTGTAAAAGCCAACTTGCTTCAGTTTTATACAAGTAAACAAATGCACCTTTGTTATAAGGAGATTATAAGGGGGGGGGAGTTGTTCCATTAGTAGTCTACCCAGAAACATACAAGGTGTTACACAAGTGAATTAATATAATAAAAACATAAAAAGCCATGCAGCATTTACCACGAAGAGTCCCTAAAGACTACTATGAGAGTTTCTGTATTACATAAACCCCAAGATACCACGCAGGGTCACCCAGCATCAGAGTGACCTTGTGTTGTCCTTTCCCTCAAATTGCTTCAGGGGCTGAAATCATAGCCAAGATGCAGACAGAATAAGTAATTTTACTAGGACAGAATCATAGGAGAGTATGCACTAAAACAGGGAGCAATAACAAATTAAACAGCGTAATAGAAAATTGTAGGCCACATTGAATAGCCAGCTATAGTGGCCCAACATTTGCAGTCTCCTTGGGAATAAAACCCATCTTTACAAACAGGCCAAGTTGAAATATACACTTTTACTTAAAAAAAAGTTAGCTAAAATGCATTTTATAGCTTTGCAGGAGTGAACAGTACTACTGGAGATTATTCAGAGCAAAAATAGATGCTTTTCTGGGGCAAAGTGCAGAATATAAAAGTAGCAATAGGCCTCTCAACATTTAGCAGCCAAATTAGTGTATGCTGTGCCTTGATAAATATCTCCCATTACGATCACCTAACATCTTATTAGAATGGTACACAGGCACGTATTAGAAGCATCACTGAGCAATGGCCACTAAACCTTCCTCCCCATCATGTGCCCCATCCTTTTATACACAGAATAAAGAGGAAAGGGATGGAAAAAAATAAATAAAAGACTTGTGGAGCCAGAGTGAGAAGGCATAGGTTAACATTTCAGTTAACAATCCATTCCTAATTAGAATCCTAGGAACATTAGCACAGGTATCTGCCAGGGATATTCATATACTAGTTTGATCCAAGATAAATATGCTGTAAAAAGCTCTCCAATATGGCTGCCCATCTACTCCAACAGCTGAAAACACTAGACCAGGATTCACATAGATCCATAGTTAATGAGAGTATTGGAATATAGCCTTATACCAGTTTATTGAATTAGGAGTCAATCCCACCTCACACTGACAGCTCACAGAATGCAATCCACTGCCATTTATACACATGATGGAGACAGCTAGGGTGGAGATGAAGTGGAAGCCATGTCTGACCATAGAACAGCAGATACTTTAATTACAGGACACAATATCTGACACCTGAACCTACAATGAAAAGTTTAATATTTGCAACAAAATATACCTGAGCCCTTACAGCATAATAATTCCTGATCCCAGGGGTAGTGACAGTAATATAGCAGCTTGAGATCAGCCCCTGCATCAACAAAGCTCTCAGCCTGCACAATACATTTTATCCAGCGAGGAAGCACTCACCTGCGATAGTGCTCTGCCTATGTACTAAAGATGCTGCTTCCTGTGCGAGAGGATTCTGCTGCAGAGCTACGTGACTCCTGCGTTCTAATACCGAGCTTTATCCCCGCCCCGCCGTGCTGATTGGGAGTGACGTCACTCATACATTATTCTCCCCGGGGCTAGCTGACGTCAGAGCTGAGCATACACCCCTTGCCTGTGTTAGTGAACTTCTACATTGGATCTTTTTTTTTTTTCTTATTATTATTTTTTTTTATTATTTTTTTTATAAAATACATTTTTTTTTCAACTTTCTTTTCTTTAAATCTTAGAAATAAAAACTTTAAAGCCCAAAACAAACCATTAGCACTATTAAAATGAATTGAAAGAGTGCAGTCTATTATTTATGCTTTTATTGCAGTCGATCATAACAAAATAGATGCTATTTATATAAATCATCATTTAAAACAGTGGAACCTGGAACCCAAGTGTTTGTTTGTTTTTTCATCAAAAATGCCAAACTCTGGTTAAACTTTATATATTTATATATATCTTACCAAGTGAACACATTATATCAAACTTCAAAAATCAAGCTTTATACATTTGTCACATAAGTGCAAGAAGGAACATAAACAGGGCGTACAGAGGGGTTACTGCAACCACCATGACAATATGACCACTTCTGCTTTTAGAAGTGGTTGTGGTGGTAGGAGTATTTCTGCTTGAAGCGCTGCACATACTGAGATATTTGTACTTTTGTTCCAGAGCTTGTCTCACCCGCAGCAAGTGTGACGTAATGTCAATTCTGTGCAAAAAAAAATACGGCACTGTGCGCCGATGACAGACATTTCCAGCTCATTTGTGTCCCCTCCCTGTCTTGTTTCAAGCCTCCTGCCGTCCTCTAATTTTAAATTGCTAATTTTTTTCCCTCCATCCCCTCCCATGTGAGCCAGTAGAACGGTCCAATCAATGCTCGTCCTTGGGAAGCATTTGATTGGATCGTGAGGGTTCAGCTGTTACAACAATGGAGGTGTAGAGAACAGAGAGGGGAGCTTCGCCTAATTTTACAGGGGATGAACCTTGTGAATGGTGCCAAGTAGAGTTTTATAAACTAAATAGAAAAATGGTATACAAAGGGTTACGGTAACCCTTTAAGCTCTACATTAGAATGAGACGGTTTACAACCGGCACACAGATATACAAACTGTAATGAACTGAAACCTAAATTGCAAAATGAAGCCAAAAATAGCCAAGCTGTTATCCCTAATCTGCTATTCTTCTGTATATAGATTTCCGTAACATTGTCAAATTAGTATATTCTGGTACCTAGATATTAAACTGTCTCCTTTGACCTTTTAAAAAAATATATATATATTTTATCCATGGTTTTTATTTTTATGTATTTGTAGAATCACAATGCTCTAGCTGGTTTGATTATAACCTGCAATGCATGCAGCTTGTCTTGACCCACAGCTGGTTATGTGACCTTCCAGCCTGTTAAAACCCACAGGAGGACATGCATGGCGTATATCTGCAATGCGTGGGTCATGCCTGTAATTCTCTTGGGAGCCGTTTACTTAAACTGGGATTGTGGGATACTGAATATTGACAATCAAACTGAAAAATACAGGCCAGGGAGATATTGCATTTTTATAGAATGAGGGTGAGATTGTGTGTGTTTGTGTTTTACTGTGGTATGGGGAAAATAATGGGGACCTGTGTGTGGGAATAAAGGAATTAATGCTATAGAGAGTTTCTGGGGACATTAAGGAGACACTAGGCATCTAGACCACTTCATCTCAATGAAATGGTCTGTGTACCATGCCTCTGTAGTTATAAACCTGCAAGTGAAAATATTGCTGGTCTCTGGTCTAGAGGCTATCGCAATGACAGCCACTAGAGTTGCTTCCGTCCAAATAGATGAGCCAGCAGGACGAGACTGGGGTGGCGAAGACTGAAAGGTAAGTTTCACCCTTCAAGCCCGTGTATGGCAGGGGAGGACATTGCTACAGATAGATTAAAACTATTATATTAGGAATACATACAGTATAACACTAAATCAGAGCAGGTTTCCAGAACCCTGAGATGGCATTATTTTCACCTATTTTAGATAAGGGGTAATGTTAGTGTATGTGTTAAAGTAGTGATTAAAGTGTTACTTCAACCTCCATGAACACTTCTGCTATTAGAAGTAGTTATGGTGTAAACAATCTGTGTGCGTATGATCCGGAAGATCTTGGCCCAATGCTGGATTCTAGATCATTTTTTACTTTTACAGTTTTTCAGGTAACAAAATGGGGGGTAACCAAGTGACATATGGAAAATCCAAGTGCCAAGGAAAAATGTAAATGCAGGTTGGAGTAACTGTTAAATATTTAATGTTTGTGTAGTGCAAGGGTGTAATTTGTTCTGGAGGGCCAAATTGTCCACTGATATAGGTATGGAGGGCAAAATGCATACAATTTCCACACACATACACACACACACACACAAAGAAAAAAAAAAGCGAGCATAAAGAACTTCACATAATGTCATAAATGTAATTACTTTTTTACAGAAAATAAAAAATATGTATTTGTGTGTAGTGTTGACATTAGAATGCATTTGTGTGTTTGTATGTACTGTTCCATTTAAATGCAATGGTGTATTTGTGTGTAAAGTTGGCATTTGAATGCAGGGATATATCTGTGTATAGTACTGGTGAATACAGAACTTTGTGTGTAGTGTGTGCATTTGAATGTATAGCAGTGTTTGTAGTAATGGCCATTGAACTGTATTTGCATGGAGTGTTTGAATGTTATTGTATGTAGTATTGACGTTTTAAAGCAGATTTGTGTTTGTGTATAGTGTTGACCTTTGAATATAGAGGTGTATTTATGTTCAGTGTTGGCGTTTGAACGAAGAATTGTGTTTGTGTATAGTGTTGGCATTTGAATGAAGAGATGTATGCACTGCCACACACACATACACACACTAAGAAACTCACAGATATTCATAAACACAGATACACACATATAAGTAACAATTAACATAGTTTTAGCCACCGTCACTTTTTGATTGCAGGAGTGTACCTTCCCTGGGTTCCAGTAAAAAGCCGGCTGGCCAAGGCTCATGGGAGTATGAGTTTCCAGGTTTTCCCCTTCTGTTTTGAGGCCTGATCCTGCCTCCTAACACAGTTCTCATCAAATTGGGTCACTCTTTCCCAACAGGCTGCAGGAGGAAACTTACACTGTGACAGGGGCCCAGTCCAGTGCACTATTAAAGGGCCGTAGGGCTTAATTGATCCGTCTCGCGTGCTAAATTTGTTAGTTCTGTGGGCTGTATGTTTTACAGCCCTAATGTAGTTTATGATGTTAGGGTAATGTAGGGTTAATTTGTAGTGTAATGTGTAACACAGGCTTAATGTGTTGTGTAAGGATTGACAGGATGTTTCACTGTAAAGGCAAGCACTGAGGCCTACATATCCTGGTGCATCCCAAGATTAGTGGGAGTTAAAGTCACAGGCAATAGTGGTTTTATCCACTGTCATTAAAATGGCAGTTTTCTACTACCATTAATCTCAGACAGAGATGTATGTTCCAGTCTGCCCAAAATTAAGTTCCCTAGACTGCTTAGAAGTGATCTGTGTTTTATTACTGGTTCATTATGGGGAATAATCGCACACACAGTGTCACCAGAACAGGATTCTGAAACAGGACCTGCCCTTTAAAATTACAGACAGAACATGTAATAACTAAGATATAAGCATGAGGGCCAGTTATTTATAAAGCTCTTCAGAACCCTGAGGTTCCATTTTTCCACATAATGCACACTATCACATCTGTTATGTATCTGACTCAGATATATATATATATATATATATATATATTTATTTTTGTGTTGGGGACAATAAGCCGAGCTATGTTAGTGGTGCACAAGTCGGTTGTGGTGTGCCAAAACCGACATTCGGGTAGGCCTGTAAAAAGAGGGCAAAAAGTTAATAGTTTAACACTTTAATATGTCTACATTACACAATCAATACTTTACATTTTATAAGCATTTATCACCATACCTTAAAGGAAAATTTGTTAGTGGGAGATACTCTATAACACCAAGATACTGGCTGACCTATGCTATGCCAAGTGGCGAAACAATTAAGCTAAATTGGTGACTTGGGAACCTAACTAGTTGCCAAGTGGCGATGAGAGGCTCTACCTAGGATTTGACCCGTTGGGTATGTTTGCCACCTTTCGTTGTGGTGGGGTGTTGGCCTCTTGGTGAGGTTTAGAGATTCAAAATAAGTTGGCCGTGACAGGTGAGGCCCTAACGGCTTTCGCCAAGAGGGCAGAGATGCGGGGCAGTAACTATGATTTGGCCCGAGGGGCGAATACCTCCGTAGTTGAGGATGGGAGTTGGACTCGCAAGACCGCTATATAATGGCACGAAAAGCTGAAAACTACCTATGGCCACTTAGGGTACCCTAACAGCCAGAACAAGCTAAAGATAAGTTCTGTAGAGTGAGTGGTTGTTGTAATAAGGGAGTTAGTACCGTAAAGCCAGTTACTTACGTGGACAGTCTCAGCCCAGAGGAAGGGGCGACCTGTGTATTTATAGCAATATTCCCTCCCACAACTACTAGCCCTGCCTTTCCATATACACACACTTTATATTTACAAATTTTTTTTTTTTGCAGAATGTTGATCACACATCCAGCAGACTCTCTGCCAGCACCACATTCTTGCTTTACATACAACCCCCTCTCTGCACATATTTGTGAATGCTTTTGGAAAATCAACAAAGTCATATACAAATAGGAATTAATGGTACTGGGGGAAATAAAGAGCACTGATAGCAACTATTTTATTTGTAAAATCTGATTCCATCCTCTGTCTGTGTAGAATTATCTTTTTAATAAATTTGAAAACGAAGATTATTTCATGATAAAAAAAGACTGGGTATTTTGGTCCATTACTAAAATAGAATGCATTCTTTTTATCTGTCTCTGTGGACAATTCTGTAGTTATCTCCATACCTTGGCATTAAGCACATTAAACAGGACTCAGGATGTTTATTGTAAATAAAAGTAGCTAAGATTAGATCTTCCAAGAAAACGCAGTCAATTCCCTCACCTTGGAGTTACCTTCAGCTCCCTTTCTGGCGGATGCTGAATTTGACATATTGTTCATCTTCTCCCATTAGCAAGAACTAAGCTGTGTCCTTGAGCATGCCTGTAGAACATTTGCTTTAACTAATCTATTACTGAAACATCTACAGTATATTGAATAGGTAGAGATCATCCTAACACATACCCATGGACAATGCTGAGAAATGTATTGGCACTTTATAAATAACGAATAATAGTTTAAAGGTGTGTTACACAATTACAAAAAGTGAACCCTATATTACATTACATTGAAATATGTCAGACATATTATGCCAAGAAAATATTAATATTTGTCTCACAATTCTGCCTACAGATAACATTAACGGCCTGTATTTGTTTTTTAATATTGTGTAATAACTGTAAAGCTATATTACATCCAGTTGTAGGGTTGGAAGTAAACATTTTTGCACAATCCACGAGGATAAACAGATGTAATTTGACCACTCTGTATTTAATTAGAATTACAGGGACCGGGTAATCACCATAACAACCTATGCTCACTGCAAGTTTGTGTTGACATACAAGTGTTGGTTGCAGCAAGTAATTTAAACCCAACATTGTCCTGAACCAATACGCACAGACTTTAACGAAGCTCTACAATGCGTTTTTCATAAAACGATCCCAGCAATGCACAGTTTACATACTGGAGAAATGTGGAAACAGCAACACATGTACTATATTTAGAAAGTGGGGAAAATAAAACGATAATGATGGTGGATTGTTAGGTAGAAAGGAAGAGGTGTAGTAGGTGGCAGCTGAAAACTTCATTGATCATGTATGACTTAAAAGTATGGTGGGGTGAAATGGTATCAGAGGACCATGTAAGAAAATAAATGGATAGAGGCTAAATAGGAAGAGTGTTGGCTTTTGGCTGAAAGTCATGGAAATATAGGCAGGGGGAGAAAACTACCAAAAGTAAGTGCGAAAAGGTCTGAAAAACCGTAACCATGGATTTAAATGACAGGATGTTGCAAAGAGATAGAAGTTGAAGGGAGGTGGGATAACGGGGAGTTTGCAGACCAAATTTCTCAAGAACAACCAGGAGCATTATTTGTATTCATACTAGTTCTGTTTGAATGTTATGTCATGTGGTGGGAAGAAGACCCCCTTAAAATTATTTAGTATGGCTAGTGTTTTTGTATCCTTTATCATTTATTGCTACCAAATGTATCTCTAATTAATATAAGGGACATTTTTAGAGGTGTATGTAAGTTAAATTTAGTCTGCAGTCAGATGGAGCATTCAACAGAAATGTTTTCAAGTTATTATATTCCAGGTATGAGTTTCCTTTGAAATGTTAAATATTCAGTACAATTACAATACTCTGTTTATGGATACTGGTTACAAACAAACATTTACTATAAATTATATGTTCATAAATAAAATTGCAGATTAATTTAACAAGAGACAGGAGTCTCAATCAGTAGTTCTGCTCTGCAGACATAAAGACCTTGTTTGTTAAGTCATGAATTGTCAGGAATTGACCAAGGAATTTCAAAATTTAAACCACAGCAGTTGATTGAAACATTCTCAGTTTTAATTACACCTAGGCTATTTTTGCCTAATATTTAAATGTTCCAGGTTTAACGGATAGCTCTGTGAGACCTTAGGTCACCTTATTGTTGACAGCTGGTTACTACATCAACAGCTAAACTCATATTTGTAATAGATTTGTCAAATACAAGCCAAATGGAAATAAAACGATAATGGATGTACTCCCTGGTGATCACAAAATTAACTATTTTTTTCCCCCCCAATACAGTTGGCTTCATTTAAAGGACCACTATAGGTACCCAGACCACTTCAGCTCAATGAAGTGGTCTGGTGCCAGGTCTCCCTAGTTTTAACCCTCCAGCTGAAAACATAGCCGTTTCAGAGAAATGTTTACAATGCAGGGTTAATCCAGCCACTAGTGTCTGTCACCCTGACTGCCACTAGAGGCGTGTCCGCGATTTACACTGAGTAATGCTTTCCTATGGGGGGGGAAGGGGTGGGGTTGAATGCACGTGCGCCTCTGGCTGAGCATGCCCATTTGGCTGCAATCGGGAGCTGACGTCAATGGAGGAGGTGAGGTAACCAGCGCTGAAGGAGCCAGGCGCTGGATTAAGGTAAGCAAATAAATGGTTAACCATTTATTTGCCGCGGAACGGGGTGACTAGGGCTTTATAGGGTTAGGAATAAATATTTGTATCGCGAACGCTATAGTGTTCCTTTAAGAAGAGAAAATATACATAATTGTATCAAGGACAATTTTACCAAGATAACAGCCTGTCAGGCCTTCCATCCAAAACTCAACAACCCCATAAAGAGGGTATCAGCCTGAGAAGCAAACAAGAAGTCAAAGGTCAATGGGACAATTAGAACCCAGTAGTACCACAAAGCTGTGTTTCATGGATTCATGGCAAGAAAAAAAAAAAACTACCAAGACACGTGAAACAGCAAATATGGAAAATAATATCTAACGAATATTGAACATTTTGGCTTTACTATAAAAGGCTTTGTGTGGTACAATGCCAACACTGCTCATCACCCTGAGGACACTATCCTAATGATAAAACAAAGTTGGGTTTGCATTATCTTGTTGGGTACGTTTCATTAACTGGGACAGAGAAAAGATAAGGACTGAGGGTAAGATGGAGCCAAAGGCAGAGAAAAGTCTAGAGAAAAACCTGTTTCAGGAACCGGAGATGGTTTATATGTTCACCTTTCATCATGATAATGACTAAACACATGGCCAAAGCTACAGTTTTGTGGCTTAAAGCCAAGAGCCTGAATATTTAAATGGTTCAATCAAAGTCTAAAACACAATCTGATGAGAATCTCTGGAATGAGTTAAAGTCACAAAATTGCAAGATCTAGATGTGCACAGCTTGAAGAGACATCTCAAAATACCCACGGCTATAATCAGAACCAAAGGTGGTTCTACAACATACTAATTCAAGGGAGTGGACACCTATGCACTAACAAATTTTGTTAGGATCACGATAAAACCAATTTTTGCATTTTGTCCACTTGGTTTGATGTACTACTAGATGTACAGCTTTTTAAAATCGGTTATTCTGGTCTTTTGTGTCAATGTACTTACAATGTTACAATGTACAGGATGCTGACTCCACCATTTGGAAGTGAGGACAGTCTGTCAGAGTACTAGGCTAATATATACCGGTAATCTTCAGTAAAGTATATCTTAATGCTATGCTCTTCTAATGATTGGTGAGTGAAATTTTACCCCTGGTGAGTATGTCATGCACTCTCCAGACTCTCAAATGCAAGTAACTTTTAAAAGGCGTGGCTAGTAGCATATTTTAAGCTCTGTTTTAAAATATACATTTGGTTGTGATTTAAACTAAGATTTAGAATTCTATACCTGCTTAAAACCATTCAAACCATGCATGTTTTGTGAATTACTACTTTCTGTTAAGTTGTGTAAAGGGTATACGTACATATTTCATGGAAAAAAGTCTCCATGGCACTTTCTTCCCCCCCTTCCCCCAGTTACTGTTACCAGTCATGATCCATTTCTCAATCTTTGGTTGAGCTTGACAATGATCCATCTATTTAAATCTGCCCCCCTCCCCCTTTGTGGCTAAGTTGTTGATTGGTTCTCAGATGTCCTCTACAATTCACCAAACAGATTTCGTGGAGGTATAGCTTTATATCAGTGGGATACTGAAGATTTCTACAGCACAATTGTTCTAGTTCTTAATGAAACATACATATCAATAAAGAAGACATGTCTGACACTCTCAATAGACATTTTTTTTTTTTTGCCATTCAGGTATTTAAAGTTGGAATGGTAACTAATATTACACATTCTTTACCCCCTACGGCATAAAAAAATATTAATACAGATTTGGAATCTTACATAAGTAGATGATATATTGGTAAAGTTTCAATTATATTTTTAATACAATATTTAGCAAAAATGTACAAGTTTTGAAGAAGGAAAAGTAGAATGTAACATTAATACACAAAATATTACAATGTCTGTACAACTCGAGTGGGGCAAAATTGGCAGTTTATAACCGCATGCAACTGCAAAAAGTAATTGAGTTGACCAAGCTGGAAACGTTTATAGCAATTCTATAAAGCATAATTCACATTCAAGCACAGATGCTCCCTGGTACAGGTTAAAAAACCACATATGTTAAAAATACATGTCATTTTAAAGTGAACCATCAATCCTATGGAAATTACACTATGAAATAAAGCATTGAAAACTACCTATAAAACATTTATACAGTTTTCTTTTAAAGTTATAGTAAAGATTTAGCGTATCTAGTTTAATCTTGGCACAGTTAGAGGAGAAACAGGATTATTGCGGTGTTTAAGCTGACTGAGAGGCACCAAGATGGAGATACTCCATTCCCAGACAGCGATAAACACACAGCAGTAGGTATTCTACATTACATTTTTTTTTTTAAATATAAGGTATAAGTAAACAATCTTAAAATCCTGGAATGATTGTCCCCCTTCAACCCCATATTAAAGGCATAATAAAGCCATTACAGGGGCAGGAGACCCTGGGTGCTGTCTTACCTTATGGGGTTAAACAGTTTCTAAACAGTGCAACCCCTAAGCCATCCCTCTTTGCTCCTTTGTCCCCTACTCCATCCTAAATACTACTAAGAACGATTTTATCTTGGGCACCGGTGTTAGGCTAAGTAACTGTATTAGATGCGCTCAGTCTTTTAATGGCCGTCAATTGAAAGGCAATGCAATCCTTTCGAAAAGGATGTACAATTCTAGAGCATTCCTCATAATGGGTGGTCAGTGATAGATTTAGAGCATCAGATGCAGTCAACCTTTCACTGGTCCCTAAAGCAAAATCTCCCCTACTAGTAGCTGTGCTAGAGGAGGAGGCAGCAAAGGGCGATACAGGGGATGAGAGGACAGCTTTGCAGTTAAACTGTTTGAAAACAGGTTAACCCCATAAGGTAATAAGGCATCCAGGATCTTAAACCCTCATAACCATTTCATTAAGATGAGCTGGTATGGGGGCTGGAGTGTTCCTATTAGTGCAACTGGTTCTGTAAGAGAAGCATTAGGGAAATGTATGGTAGCACATTAATAAAATGGACAATAAATATATAATGTACAATAATATTAGAGAACAGCCACGAAGATTGTACTCTTTAAATGGTTACACTCTATTTAAGATATGCCATAACTTTTTTCAGATTCTCATTGCTGGACACAACTTCTGGTATTGATAGGAGGGTCTGAAAGAGAAAAAGAAAATGGTGTTTGTAAGGACATCAAGGACAAATCATGCAATACATCAGGGGAGAAAGACTGAATTGTAAATAGCTTAAATGAAAATAATGCCTTATTCTTAGCTTGTAATTCAGTCTCCATGGGGGACACATACAATACGGATTAAACTTCCATTATGTTGCTTAACCATCTGGCTATATGGAAAGTTTTATGACAACAGTGGGTTCAAATGCCATATACATTGCTCAGTACAAAAATACATGCATATTTAATGAGTGATATTAAAAACTTCAGCAGAGTGCAATTGTGTTCTGGACTATTACTGTAAGAGGTGCACTAAGCACTGCTAGATTTTCAACTAGCTGAAATCTTTTGCATTTTGGTGGACCCTGCGCCTTCTAAAATAATATACCCTACTGTGCTATACTGCAGGACTTTACATATTTATTTAGACCATCCTTCAAATCGTACACAATTATGTATCTCAGAGACATCTGAAGGACCTGCTTGAGATTTCACAAATTACAGAAAATATTGCAGATTTTAAAAACCAGACCCAGAATCACAGGAGAAGACATTACACAAATCTTCTCTTTTGGGAGAGTTAGAATACCTTACCGCTCTTATCTTTTCAATGATATCATCCAACTTCTTTAATTCTTTTTCAGAGTTGGCAAGATTCCTTTCCAAAATATCCCTCTGTACAGAGAACATACATGATCAATACAATGTTTTGAAACAAGATGGAGTTACATATCTATATTCAATTCACAACATTTACATTTTCATGATCCATAGCTCTTACTGGGTTTAGTGAGATAGGGCAAGGAACTCCATGCTCTCGCTTGTTTGTATTCTATAATTTAGCAGTAAGTGTATCCAGTTAACATGAACTGTAACCCCACCAAATTACTCCATAGAGGACAGACACTCCATAGTAAGTACATGCTGTACAACTTATAACCAGCCACAAGTAGTTTTAGTTTTTTTTCCATGAATTAAACTACATGCATCCAGGTCTGCAGCACATTAATGCTTTTAAGAAGTATCAGCAACACTCTCAATCTCAATCAATGTTAGATGTTATATACATTTTGTATACTTAGTCTATAGGGAAAATGGTAAAAGACAGGTTTTACTGCTTATTACAAGCTACTAGAACCCTAAATAGGTCAGTGTGGAGTCAACACACAATATACTGTGCTCGGGTTTAGAAAGCATGTCTTCAAAGGAATTGTGTTCAGATCTGCAGCTCACATGACTGACGGCATTAATAAGTTAGAGCCATTAGAGCCATCTCTACACAGTGCTCATTTCACAGTGGATTTCAAATGAAGCACTGTGCTCTTTGAAATAAAATGGATTTAACTTTGTAATTTGATCATCTACACATTACCTCCTACAATACAAACGACATGCCATAAGGATCAGGGGTTCCTCCCTGCCCAAACAAACCAGAGGAAATGGCAGTGCTGAGAATGAGTCCAACATGTCCTCAGAACTGTAGGCGGTAAAATGGCACATGTTCTGTAAATGGCATGCTTATGAAAATGCTAAATATATCTACTTACTCAAAGTACTAAGGCAGTACTAAACTTCAGATTAAAGGACCTCTATAGTGCCAGGAAAACATACTTGTTTTCCTGGCACTATAGTGCCCTGAGGGTGCCCCCACCCTCAGGGTCCCCCTCCCGCCCGGCTCTGGAATGGGGAAAGGGGTAAAAACTTACCTTTTTACAGCGCTGGGTGGGGAGCTCTCCTCCTGCTCTCCTCCTCCGATCCCCCCCGTCGGCTGAATGCGCACGTGCGGCAAGAGCTGCGCGCGCATTCAGCCGGTCGCATAGGAAAGCATGCATAATGCTTTCCTATGGACGCTTGCGTGCTCTCACTGTGATTTTCACAGTGAGAAGCACGCAAGCGCCTCTAGCGGCTGTCAATGAGACAGCCGCTAGAGGCTTTGGGGGAAGGCTTAACCCATTGATAAACATAGCAGTTTCTCTGAAACTGCTATGTTTATAAAACAATGGGTTAACCCTAGAAGGACCTGGCACCCAGACCACTTCATTAAGCTGAAGTGGCCTGGGTGAATAGAGTGGTCCTTTAATTTTTACATTCAGATTTATTTGCGAAAATGTGCGATTTAGTAAATGTATGCATTTTTAACCTAAGAGTGTTCCTTTAAGTTGGACTTTCCATTTGGAAATAGACTACATAATAAAGTTAAAAGGAGTCAAATTCGTTTCACAGTTTCTCAATGACAGATGGTCTGTTAACCTTTCAAGCACTAGGTTAACTTCACAGGATTATAGATTAATTTATACTGTAACTGTATTAGCTTGAATAAAACACAATGTTAGATGTGGAATTCAAGGTATATTTATAAATACTGTGCTCTCATATAAATGTAAGGTTACTTACGTGTTTCAATGATCGATGCACTATTTCAGACTTTGCATTTTCTGTGTCGATGAGCATTAATCTCAGGTTGGTCAACTGATGGAAATTAAAAGTAAAATTACAGTAGGAACTGGAAAAAAAAATTAGTAGTTCTATTTTTGTAATTTTTTTTTTTTAACTTAACTACTGGTTATGCCATCCCTCTGCTCAGATGCCAGCATTGCTTTTTTTAATACACTGAAGTTATGTAGATTTTCAATAGTTTGTTTGCAAAGTATTATGATTTCATACAGTTTCCTGCTTGTCTGATTTTATTACTCATCATAGAGTGGACTAGCGTAAATTTCCATTCATATTCTAAGGGATCTAATAGCTAAAATAGTGTTTCTGTGGCGCGCTTACTAGCTTGACATCTCTATAGTATAAGGAGGTCACATTATTTAGGAAAAGCAAAAACTCTAGAAAGGACGAGTGCAGTACTTTTGAAGACCGATCCTGATTTTGGCTTCGATTTAATAAACTTTCAAAATGATTAAATACTGGTAGAAAAACCTTGTAAATGATTTAACTACAAAAAATTCTCCATAGACTTTAATGGCGACTTGTCTAGATAAGCAATTTGCAAAGATTTTTTAAAAGTTTTGAATCATTTGGAAAGTTTATTAAATAGAGTCCTTGGTTGGACACTGCTAGAAAAAGTATTTTCTAGGTAAAAATGAGAAGCACAGTGCTTCTAAGCCCAGCAATCCAATGTGGATGATCTAAAACTTCTGTAATCTTTTGATAGCCTTCTGTAGTTAAACAGTCAATCCACAGCTGAAATATTCCAAGTCGCTCACCCACATATCTGGAAGAATACATTATATTGACACTAGGAGCAGACTTACATCTTTGTGCAGCATTAATTTCTCCTGAATCCAGTCTTGGGCAGCATAAGCCTGATTCTTTGCCATCTCCTCTTTTAGTAGATTGACCTCATTTTCACTTAAATGCAGCGAGCGTTTTAACATAGCATTCTCTTCAAAGACTTCCTAGAACATGAAATGAAATAAAATAACCGCCCTGTACCACACACAAACATAATGATGCATTTATATACAATACACACAAATACTGGTATTTACAAACTGGTAAGTGGAATACTTAGAGGAACACTAAAGGCATGAATAAAGTAAAATGTATTAACAACATGAGAATGTTCCATTTAGCATTTAGATAACGGGAAATTCTGGAGACCCCTTTGGCAATGTAAAAAAATCTATATTAATAAAAAAACAAATAAAAAAATATCACCTTTTACTCAGCATCATTTGGGTCTCACTGCAGTAACTGCTACTCCTCGTCTGAGATCAGCAATGATGATGATCTTAGGCCAATCCTACAGTGCATATGCTGCAATATGCTAATCGGATACTTCTCATAGAGAAGCATTATCACATTACTCCTCTATGAGAAGAACGGTCAGACTTTGGAGCAAGTGTGTGGGGTGTGATGACCCTGAATTTGAAGACTTTTACATTAGATGAGTGCCAGATCCACTCATTAAATATGGAATAAAAGCATCACTGACATTTGAGATCAATGTTTCAACACTATTCTGCAAAGACTTTGGCTTATATAAGCCTGGATTGTGGTCCGTGTTGTCGCACCCATATCCACACTCCAAGTAAAGTGTAGCATGCCAGGCTGCTGTGATTTTACAGATTTCTTACAGTATGCACATAAAATCATGAGCTGTATCAATACTCATTAATTCTATGACAAACCTTCCTAAACGACTACCACTACTGTGACAGGGAAGAAATCCAACTTTATGCAGAAGCAGAACAGGCAGTTTGCTTCCAAATACGTAGCATGTGCAGTCTAGTGCCAATGAATCAGCAAGTTAAATGGCATTCTCTAGTGAACAAATAAATAATTTTGTAGGTGGAGGAATATCAGAGAAGCCATAGAATATAGAACACAGCAAAACTGAGATTAAGGACGATATGGTCAAAAGGAGAAGGGTTTTTCATACACAGTTTGATAAAACTATATAAATATTACTGGATTATTTATAGCAATGATCAGCATTCACTGGCATTACAAAGATAACAAATACCCCAGCAGGGTTGGGTACATCATTTACCTCTCGTTCTTTTGTCTTGCGCAGCTCATGTAGTATTCTCTGTTCTTGTTGTTGTACTATGTCCTCCAGCTCCCGAATACACTGCAGGTGAGTTATTAAAAAGAATAGGTAAATAAATGAAATCACATTGAGAAGTATTGCTCAAATTCTGTAATGTTCAAATAAAGGGAATGTGAAGAAGCAATTCATTTCTATATTTGGCCAGCTGGATGGATGTCTGGCTCATTTTGAATGGATTAATTTGCACCCAGAACTGCTGCATTTTTTTTTATTAATAAAGAAAAAATAAATTATTTTAAAAAAAAACGTTTCTCAGTATCTAAAGGGAATACAATATTACCTGTTGTTTGCGGTTTAAAGCCTCATTTAGACAGTGATTTTGCCTCTGTAGTGTTTCCTGGTCTTCCTTTAGTTCACGGATTTCAGATTTGTATTGGGATTCTCGGTTTTGTAGTTCATCCCTAAGAAAAAAACTTTGAAAAAACAAACATTTTGACTTTAGAGGAAAGCATGCTAACCTAGATAAGCTCTAAAAGACCTCCATGCATAATTGGAACATTCTACTTAGGTTCCAACCAATTAAGTTTCTATTAGAATGCACTTAAAATAGATGGGTCTGTTTCTGTTATATAGACTTTAGTAGACTAGAATTACATGTAGGCTTGGTTACAAACAGTCACTTCAAAGGGTTAATAAAAAGCCTTCAAATTAAAGTTCTGTATTTTATGTGATAAATATATTTATGTGACCCCAAGTGCTAAACTTACATTTCCCTGTTGAGATCTTTTATTATTTGCTGCTTGATTTCAATTGCCTTCGACGAAGAGTTGGCAAAGGCAAGCACAAAATCATTCAGTTCACGCAATGCGTCAGGCAAGTGTACTTCTGAATCACCTGGTAAGGGAGAGAGCTCTTGAGTAGACATGAACATGAAAATAATTTTATTTTTTAACAATACTGTACACTAAGGTGAACCAAGGAGATTAGCCTAGATGTTAAGTAAATTTGGACTTCCCCAGGAAGGGTTTACTTCCCTGATGATCCTAACAATAGGAGGTGCACTCACTAGATTAATAATTACTGTGACAATAGTTTGTTGGCATAGAGGGCAGTTTAACTAGCACTTTGTAGAGATGATATTTCACCCTCTTTTTAATAAAACTCCAATTCTGCAGACACTATAATGTCAACTGGGCAGTATATCAACATTTCCAGAGTCTGAGCAAAATTGGCTTAACCAGGCAGAAATGGTAAGGGGAGGGGAAGGGGTCCTAAAAACCAGAATACTGCAACAATACAGAGCAAATATAAGAGATATAGTTAAAATACATTTTGCGATGCAATTAAACATTTGGATAGCATCATATTATTTTTCAGTGAAAGGTGCGCTTTAACAGTAATAGATAGTAATCTTGTTTGAGCATGCCTTCTTCACCCTTTGTCTCGGTCTAAATTTTGTATGGCAAATACTTGTCCAATATCCCCTTTCTACAATTGTTACGAGCTGCAGAATATGTTGGCGCTATATAAATGATGATAATATCACACATCAAAAGTAACCATTGTTTAAAAGCTCCAATATTTACCAGGGGCTTGTGAAATCACTGGTCGCACAACACTAAAGGCACTTGTTTCGCTCCATATTCTTCCAATTTTCTTGTTTTCAGAGTCTAAAAGGCACAAATAAAAAAAAATAAAAAAATATGTTTTTAATATGCAGGAAACAATTTCCTTTCCATAGCAAGATCTCCTTTAGTTTACAGGTGATAACCAAGAGTAGAAGAAATCCCAAAGGAAATACCCATAAACCACACTGTTTGCTGGCTTGTTTGTTCTTCTAAGCGAGCTTTCAGGACACTGCCAACTAAAGAATCGGAAAATGAAAGGCTCCGAGATGGCGTTCGTAAACAGGAAGTATCAGATACCTAAAATAAAATAAAAGTTATAATTTTTTAAATTAGGGTTTTACATTTTTGAGTAAAACCATAGGCCACTTAATGACAGAAATTTCAAATAAAATCATATGCATTCAAACTATTCCACACAATTTCCCTAACATTTGGTAGTCCCATTGCACTGCAATTACATGACATTTATTCTGTTTACACTTTAACCCCTTAAGGACCAAACTTCTGGAATAAAAGGGAATCATGACATGTCACACATTCATGTGTCCTTAAGGGGTTAAGCAAAAAACAAAAACTGCATTTCAAGCTGGCATTTACTGTTAAGTCTGCCCTTTTCTGAAATCCTCAAAACAAAACGTCAGCCTGAAATCTCCCTTTGGCCACTGGAAACAGTTTTCTTTTTCTTGCACAGCTACTTTGTAAAATGCCATGCTATGCCTCTTGAATGCCAAGTACCATATCCACATCTCTCAGCGATCCGCAATTTAATGAGATTTTTCATACCAAACACCACTATTTCTCAATGGCTCTCTGTTATAAGATATAAGCTATTCTCAAATAAACTCACATTAAATAACACGCATGCCTCTCATACTCCGATGTTTAGCTTGGCTCCCCCCAAAAAAACACCAGGGTAAATTGGTTCTCATCCTAAATGAATTCCTATCTTACTTCACAATATTAGCATTTCTGTTATGAGTGATATTCACAGTGTATGAAAAGGATCACATAATTATCATGCACAATCCAGAATGTATGTAGGAAAATAACCATTCTATTTTGGTTGAGGAGAAATTGAAGAAAATAAAATGTAAAAAATTCTTTAAATAATACAAATTTGTAATCTAATTACTGGAACAGTGGATATTCAAAAAAGGTTGTTTTTAGAATTTCAAAAAACAGGCATAATGACTGCCAGTAACATGGACCCAAAGATACTGATTTTTTTTGAATTTGACAATTTTTTATTGTTATATCGTTATATCAGTTTTAAGATCATCATGTTTGATGAGGAAACCTGTCACAGGATATGCAATCTCTAGAAAAAGGCTGTGCTCCCTAATCCAGTAGTGGTTTAATAAACCCTTAATCCACTGGCTTTCCAACAACCTTACTTTATATGCCATGCAGGATATTTTTACGACTTTGTTTAATGTCGGTCTCCTATAGCTAGAATATATATCAACCTCTTCACTACTACACATACACAGGAATAAATGCACACACATAGAAACATAGCCTAGTGTAGAATGTGTATGTATATCTGTTTATATGTATATCCATGATTGTGTTTGAATGCACATATGCACCTGTGTATCTCCGTTTTTAAGCATGTCCATCTCTGTGTCCAGGGGAGGAGCTTGCACAGTGTTGTGCATATAGGAGAGAGAGGTCTGCTTGTAGTCTTGAGGGAGGTGTGCTTTGTGTTTATAGCGAGGTTGAGATGTTTGAGGTAACACTGTATGCATGAGTGTGACTGTCTCTGAATGAGGGCAACTGTGTGTATGAGGGTGACTGGGGGGTGAGTTGAACTGACCGGGTAAGTGTAGGTGACCAAGTGTGACAGGTTGACAGTATGTGTGTTGAGTCTGCAGGGCTAATGGTGACAGGGGGACTGTGTGTGGCAGGGCAAGATGGGGAAGAATGGGAGGGTAGACTGTATATTTCTGCCTAGCCTCCAAATCTGTACACCTACCAACTGTCCCATGCCGCTGCGGCACTCAGCAGAGCCAGGGCTATAATGCTAGTGTCAACTCTGCTGTCTGGGAAGCTATTGTAAATTAAATGACATTACTTTGCAATAGATAAAATCATGCATACATGGGGAATGGCTGCATACACTAGCAATTGTGTATATAGGAGAGCAGTCGTGTATGGGATAAATACCCCCCCTAACTTCTATTAGCCAAACTGCTGGTGCAATCAGAAAGACTTTGTAGTGCAGCTTCCAACTATAAGAAATCAAATATCAGGTTGATGAGTGAAGCCTGGTTCCAATGAGTACTTTACTGCAAATGGCCAGACCACAAAAATACATATGGGCCACTCATACAGGACACACCACTTCAGTGCAAATTTATTATGTTGCACTACCTCTCCTTGTATTGCATCTCGTATGCGTTCGGTCAGTTTCTGTACGTTCTCCTTGATCCCTGAGACTTCTGTGGAGGAATCAGAGAGTTCTTTGCCCATTTTTAGCTGCATATTCTGAGCCTCTTTCTTTGAGAAATGCAGATCCATTTGTAGCTCATTAATTTCTTTCCTGCAAAATATAGAGGAACTAATTAGAGGACATTTGTGTAAACTGTAATTGGGTTACTTTGCAAGAATAAATGTTAGCTGCTAGCAATTCTGCAGTATTTCTCAGCTCTTAAATAAGACAAACAGAAAATGAGTTTCAACATGGAAAAATTACAAGTTAACTTATTTTTACTTTTTCACAGCACATTCCACCAGTTTTCTGCAAAATGTTTGATTTCAAAAGACTGTCAAACTTACAGAATAGGTCAAAACACTAGTCAGAAACTGTGGTGGAAAAAATCTGGTGCATCAGTAAAAAAATAAATAATTAAATAGCATATTCATAAATCACAGTTATGGTACAAAACAAACAAATACGTTTATAAAAAGCAACAGAAATAAACAAAACAAACTAAAAACAAAACAAATATTCACCGAAAAGATGGAAGAGAGTCAGCAACACATTGCTAATTTTCAACACTTGTGTTCCTGTACTGGTCTCTGCCACTCAGTATATACTCATCCACTGAAAACAGTGTGAGCTGAGCTGCTGGGTGACAGGCATTGCAGGAAAGGACAGCCAGGAAGATAGACAGACATAAATGTAGTATGCAATCGGTCTATCTAGCGGTCTGTATTGTATTATTATGTGTTCCCTGGAATTCCCTCACAGTAGATGTGAAACAAAGAATCTTAGTAATAGCCTGCCTTTTACTACATTCTTTCCCAGGTGCATTTAATACCAGAGCTTGCTGCCACGGTTACCTGGCTTCCTTTCAATAGCTAATCCTGGTAACAATCCAATCCCTGCAGACCAGCTGCTCTCTGTAATATAATGTGTCACCCAGTGCTAAGAAGTATGTGCACTGTAAAAAAGGTAGGATATTTGGAGAGATGTTCTGCTGCATAGCAGAAGTCTCCAAGGTGCAGGGATCTGAAAATTCCATCGCTGACAGCTGGGACATGGAGTTCCGGGTGCTGGACAGGCAGTATTGTTTTTTTAAAGTGTATTTATTTATCTAGACCTGCTGCAGTCAAGCGTCAGGGCTGCATTGGTGAGAGGGATTAGAGTTGGCGGCGGCAGTTGCACACTTTAGTAATGGCTCCATCACAATCCAACTCTAATGAGACAGAGCACAGCTTCTGGATGTTTGCAAAATAAATCTAAATGACAAAATGGAGAAAAATAGAGCCACATTGTCACTATAGCAGAGTTGGCGAATTTTTCCAGATCAGCTATTTTTGTCTCTCTTTTCATTCATATTTAAACTGTGGAAATTCAGAGTAAAGCTATAGTCCTTTCAATATCCAGTGCCCTCGGCAGGGGCCCCAATCTTCAGAATTGAAATTATTTTGCAAACACAAAAATAAAAAAAGCTATTTAACACTAAATTCAGGGGATTCATTTAGCCATCAAAGTGAACGGGGACTGTTTCTACATGTACGAGTCTTTCACACGCAACCTGAATTTATTGCCGAGGATCTTTTTTTGGTTTGCCTGTTATCTTGTATCCAGGTGAACAGGGATCCCACCTAACAGCAGCACCAAAATGTGGGTTTTGAAGTGCCTGCTGCACACTATTTACTTAGTGAAATTCATTTTGTGTCAGGACAATTAGACTGGACTACCTCTTTAGTCCCTTGGACATGATTTTAAAAAAAATAATCCACACCCCTGGAAGAGTCATAGAAATTTCTTAAGAGAGCAGTGGTTGTGGTATGTTCCCAATGTAGATTTTTCCCCCATCTGAAAATGCATGTTATCTCAGGCTTAATTTTCGACCAGTTGACCTTTTCAGGCTCTGTAGGAACTGGTAGGGAGCATGGGCTGTTTTTGTTCAAGAGCACATTTTTGTTGTAGTTTAACTAGTATCCTCACTTACAAGGGTTATTTACAGTTACACTCAAGAGAGTTTTACTTTACGAAAAAGCAAGAAAGAGGAAGAAAAAGTCCTTACAGAAGTTCATCGATTTTGTCCTTCTGAGTCTCGCACTGCAGGTTTCGTTCACGTAATGCAAAAAGATTGGCTTTCAACTGTGATTCGGTCTCTGACACCTGCTCCCGACACACGCGGTTTTCTTGTTCAAGAAACTAGGAGAAATATTGTTGCAAAGCAAAGTTAGACAAAAGTTTTGCTAAACATTCATACGCAGTTACATAGTTGCTTACGTTGAAACAACAACAAAAAAAGGCTAAGTCCATCAAGATCAACCTTGAAATCCATTATTTTATACTGTTGATCCAAAAGAGGGCACAAAACCCAACTGTAGCCACTTCCAATTAGTCCACAAAAAGGGGGGAAAATCCCTTCTTGACTCCATAATGGCAATCCGATTTCTCTATTAATTATATCATTGAATATTCTGGTTATGCAATAAGCATTAAGTACTGGACCATGGAGGAGCAATTACTGTGGTTTGCACCCAGTGGAGGAGGATACAGGCTGCTCTAACTTCATTCCACCTAGTCTGTATCCTCCACTTTTCAGCCTGAGGAGCAGTCTCGGTCTCAGCAGCAGGACTCTAATCTGCTTGCTGCAGAGCTTCCAGTTTTCTCCCCCAATCCTACTGCTGGCTCCCTCTTCAGGTTCCAGTGCTCACATACTTCCTCTTAAAACACACAAAACCCAACGCCCACATGCTGGAATTTTAACCTCTGCTGGACCACCTGGGATTTCTGAAATCCCTCCTGACAAGAAATACAAGCAGTGTATACATACAACATATAGAAAACAATCAAAATATTTGGATTTTTGTGAATAACATGAAAGACAAAAAACGTGCAGGGTGATAAATGAGAGTAGAAACCGGTTTCCCAACAGGTTTACTAGCCAAGGAACTGGAGATTACTGCCCCCGCCAGTATGTCTCCAGCTCCTAGGTTAGTATACCCTTTGTTTACTTACGTTTGGATTTGCATAGTCAGCACCTGTTAGTGCCTGGGATTCATGTGGTATTTTATATGGAGTCAACTACTGCATGTTTGCACTTTATATTCTGTGTGTTTTCTTATATTCTGTTATTTGAATAAAGAATTTCTCTATATTAAATTGCAAGATGTGCTTTGAGTTTATTTCACTTACTAAGAAACATAAGGGTTCCCAAGCACAGAGAAACCCTGCACCCACCCCCAAGAATTCCCTCCTCCACACACACTCTACCTTACACACAGTCAATGCACACCACATTCATTACAAACAAACCAAAAAACCTGCACACACACTTACTAAATACAGTTGCACACACCCACCAGACACACTACAGGATATTATCTGGGAGGACTAAGGATAGACTATTTAAGGGCATACATACATATACAAACACACACACACACATCAAATTAGAAAAAGGGTGTACTCACAGGTCTTTCCATAAATTCAATGGTGTTTATTGAACATAATGGCACAAAAATAACTGATCGACGTTTCGACACACGCACTGCATTCAGAAAGTAGTCAGACCCATTATTTTTTTTTGCTTTGGGGGTGTTTTTGAGCAGCAGGGACTGGGAGACTGGTCAGGGAGATATCTTTAATCAAAAATACAACGCAAGAGTGGCTTTAGGACAACCCTCTGAATGTCCTTGAGTGGCTCAGCCCAGACTTGAACCTAATCAAACATCTCTGAAGAGACCTAAAAATGTCTGTCCACCAATTTGAGAGGTTACACCAAGGATTTAAAAAAAAAAAAAAATTAACTTTAGCGAATATACATAAATACATAACCATCTTGATTTAGATATCATAGAGCAAAACATTTGACTACTTTGGCTCCTTACCTCAATGCTTTCAGTGTAAATTGTAATTTGAGAACCATGTTGTCTCTCTAGGTCTTGAAACTGCTGCTTTAGAGCCATATTCTGCTGAAATGCCTCTGATAAGTCCTGCTCCATCCTGTAAAGTGACATATTTAATTATTAATTATTAAAGGAGCACTATAGGGTTGGGAACACAGACATGTATTCCTAACCCTATAGTGTTAAAACCACCATCTAGCCCCCCTTGTCTCCCTATATAGTAAAATCTTAATTGTATTTAAGTCTGCAGCTGCTGCCATCATCGGAATTGGTGGTCTGAGCCAATCACAGTGCATCCCCATACGATTGGCCTAGACTGTCAAGGAGGCAGATCAAGGGCAAAGCCAGCACAAGTCAAACCCAGCCCTGACCAATCAGCATCTCCTCATAGAGATTAATTGAATCTATGCAGCTCTATGAGGAAAGTTCAGTTTCTGCATGCAGAGGGAGGAGACACTGAATGTTGTGATGCACACTAGGCAGGACTGCCCAAGGAAGAACCTTTAGCCGCCATCTGAGGAGTAGCCAGTGAAGTTATCTCTAGGCTGTAATGTAAACACTGCATTTTCTCTGAAAAGACAATGTTTACAGCAAAAAGCCTGAAGGTAATGATTCTACTCACCAGAACAAACACAATAAGCTGTAGTTGTTCTGGTGACTATAGTGTCCCTTTAAATATAGTTTAAGCCCAGCCCTCGGAAGCTTTTAGTGCTGCAGCAGAAGCCACTCACCGACCGAACCGGCAAATCACCATGAGCGACGCGGCCATCTCATTCGCCAAGGACTTCCTGGCCGGCGGTGTGGCCGCTGCCATCTCCAAGACTGCTGTAGCCCCCATTGAAAGGGTCAAGCTTCTCCTGCAAGTCCAGCATGCAAGCAAACAGATTACCGTTGACAAGCAGTACAAGGGCATTATGGACTGTGTTGTCTGTATTCCCAAAGAACAAGGTTTCCTGTCTTTCTGGCGTGGTAACCTTGCCAACGTGATCCGATATTTCCCAACTCAGGCCCTCAACTTCGCCTTCAAGGAAAAGTACAAGCAGATTTTCTTGGACAATGTTGATAAGAGGACCCAGTTCTGGCGCTACTTTGCCGGTAACCTGGCATCTGGTGGTGCTGCTGGTGCCACTTCCCTCTGCTTTGTCTACCCTCTTGACTTTGCCAGAACATGGCTGGCTGCTGATGTGGGCAAGGCTGGTGCTGAGTTCAAGGGCCTTGGTGACTGCTTAGTCAAGATCTCCAAATCCGATGGTATTAAAGGCCTTTACCAAGGTTTCAATGTATCTGTTCAGGGCATTATCATCTACAGAGCAGCTTATTTTGGAATATATGATACAGCCAAAGGAATGCTTCCAGACCCCAAGAACACACACATCATTATTAGCTGGATGATTGCTCAGACAGTAACAGCAGTGGCAGGTTTTGCATCCTATCCATTTGACACAGTCCGTCGAAGAATGATGATGCAGTCTGGCAGAAAAGGAGCCGATATCATGTACACTGTAACAATTGACTGCTGGAAAAAGATTGCAAGATATGAAGGTTCCAAGGCTTTCTTCAAGGGTGCCTGGTCTAATGTCCTCAGAGGAATGGGTGGTGCTTTTGTGCTAGTCTTGTACGATGAGATGAAGAAATACATCTAAACCTGACCTTGTCCAGATACCTGCCATGGCATGCTGTATTATGTAACATACCCTGAACGTTCATGGACTTTTCTTTTTGTCAAACACATTTATTTATAAAGTGCAACCGGTTATATTTTACTAGTTGTTGTTTGGGATCAATCCTACAGGCCACCAGCTTTCCACATTAACACAAATCATTCCCTTCCCCTGTCATTATTGTATGCCTTCACTATAGTGTAGGCTGTCAGAAGTGATGGGGATACAACAATGGGACTCAACGCTCCTTTATATTTTATTTCAGCCATTCATGTTTTTAAGTAACTTGGATTTGAGGAAATAAAAAAAAAATATATATATAGTTTAAAATGGTCATACATAATTTGGGCTAAAACAAAATATAATAGGAAACTCACTGGCTGAGATGGACACCTTTCGATAGAAGTTATACTGCTCTACGTTTTACATCTTGCTATCTAGTGGTTTTAAAGAGATACAGTCACATCTCTTGAATTCACACCAGTGATTAAAACAGTGAAAACGTAAATTGTATTGCAGGAACACTCCATTGAAAACATAGATATGCCCCCAAAGAAAATATGTATGTAAGATTTTCTACATGCTTTTTTCTAGGGGTATGTGTAAAGACAGATTGCAAAAGCTATAGATCTGCTGTCTGCAGCCTTTGCAAGCCCTCTCCTCTTTCCCCAGCCCAGACTGAAAGTATGTGCTGGGAAATACACCAGTCAGAGTCTTCTCATTCATAAGTCTCTGTGCTGGAACTGCACACACAATCAGGTCTTTGCTTTGCTATTGAAGTGTTTGTGTGTCTGGAGTGTTTCTTTAACGCATTTCTAGGATTGGGTCAATTTTCTATTACATTTACATTGAAAACTTAGCAAAGTTTTAAAAGTGGGCAATCACTATATAAACCGGTAAGTATATCCCAATGGTGACTCCACCATTTTACATTTTTGCACCACTTTTTAGATTCAAATATTGTTGAGCACAATGTGATGACACACACACGTTCCCCTTTTTGACTATATAAACCAACATTGCAAACATTAATTGTTTACCGAGCAGTTGTCTCTTTAAATTCCAGCTCCAGCTGTTTCAGAGATGAATTCTTTGCGAATAGCTCTTCCATCAGTCCAGAATGGTCTTGTTTTAACTGATCATTTTCAGATTTCACTTCACATAAATGTTCCATCAGGGATTTTAACTCTAGAGAATAAAGTACATTTAGAACAATTATTGTCCAAAACATAGTATTGACTGTATTGGTAAGTAATTATATAACTTTTCCCCAGTGATCGTGAAACTTGGCACTACATTGTTTGTGAAGCACAATGAGACTCAGGCAGCATAAAAGGCCTGGCTGAGCGGAATGCGAAATATAATCCACAGACATGTGCAATGATTTAACGATCACTACTTTAGACTAATATTCATTATTAAATATGTTATATTAAACCTTATCTAGTGTTGGTCTTTGAAAGGAAAGCTAAGCAACATAACCAGTACCACACACTGTGTTACAGATTTCGCTTCACTTTTGTTGTTTTAATACCATCTGGTAGTTGCTTGAGGTGAAGAACATTTAAAAAAAAAAAAAAAAAAAAAAACACATCCCTGGGGTTGCAGAATTAATAGCAAATATAAACATTTACTATTTTTTCCATAACAAAAATATTATAGAGTGGTTCCTCCACTAGTATACATACAATATAAGGCGGAGTACATAAGTAGAAGTTCTTCCAAATATGATTTTCAACAAAATAATGTCCTTTTGTAATTCCCTAGGTTTGAACACAAATAGGGAAAAAGAAATAGTGCAATACTACCAAAGCACTCACAAACATAGAGCCTCTGGATGGGCTCAAAAGTAGAAGCACTGTGGGTACTTTAGGGGCCCACTCCATTCTTGTTTTAATCTTGGATATTCCAATAACAGGATCTCTTCTCAGAGTGGTATATAACAATAAAGTGCTTTATTCAATAAAGTGCACACAAAATTAATAAAATCATTAAAAGTGAATAAAAAACCTTACAGTCTGAAGGTAGTCCTTATGGTTGTTTGCAAAACGCGTTTCGCCTCAAAATGAGGCTTCCTCAGTTGCTGATTGTAGTCTCCTGGTGGTCCATTTTAATACACTCGCTTTTGGCGGTTCTCTTCATCCCTTCCGGCGTCCCCAGTGGCTAGAGGTTCACTTTCACTTCCTCTTCCTGATTCCTGCGTTCCACCTGTGGAACGCACGCATCACGTAATGTGTTCCACAGCATCAGTATCTTTAATTCACCTTCCTCTTCCGGTTTGCGGTCCCTGCGTTCCATCTGTGGAACGCGAATGTCACGTGACGCGCTCCATCCATCACGAGCGTCACGTGACTTTTTTAGAGAGGCTCTCATTTTCAAAGTCCAGTTTTTTTTTTTTCTCCGTCAGGGTTCAACATCTCCATTAAAACAATTAATTTATCCAAAAATTGCACGTAAAAAGCCTTTATGATTTGATTGTATCTCATATGAGATAGCTCTTAAAGGGGTTTATAGTAACCTCTTTCCTAAAATACATTTTAAAGTTATTTATAACGTCTTATATGGGAATCCATTCTCTACTAAATTACCCCTTATAAAAAAGTGATTAAAATTGTATATTCCATAAAGGCCTCTTATGTTTTATATTTTACACATAAATATATGCATATAAACAAATCTGTCAATCAGTTCTCAGCATAGAGTGCCATGTTGAGGACCTATACCTCTAATGCTGACAACAGACAGATAAAAGAGAATAGAAGAACCATTCTAGAAGAGGTTCTCTGACACTGCAACGACAGTATGTGTGCTTACTTATTCCTTTAGCAAGTGCTAGTTTTCTATTAAAACAACCATATTACATTTTGCATTCAATTCCAAGTTTATTTTGGTGTTTAACAAACAAGTGACTGTACTCAAAACTTTAGAGAAGTTTTCTAAATAAAGTGGTGCAGTTATCAAAAATATGCTTTGCACAAATAATGTCTATATCCATGGTTGAGAATTGTAAATCAGTTTAGTAGAAAGATTTCCAGCAAACACAGATTTGCATTTATGCACATAGTATATTCAGCATTTAATAAGTGACAAGCGCAGACAAAATATAAATAAAAATGAAAAACAGTTCTATAAGTTTCCACCTTTTGAGGGCTTCTGGTCTTAGGGAGGCTGGCATGAGGTCTCCGCCTCCAGGTAAGATGTATATAATCAATTAGTAGATTTAACAAGCGTTATGTCAAAGGAGACACTTCAACCCCAGTAATGTGGGAAAATTAAAATACTGATATTTTTGCATATATGAACAAAGATAGACGACACAGGGAATGGAGGGGTGCAGTGCTGAACAGCCTGGGACCCATCAGCCATTAATCCTTTCCCTGCTTCCACTTGTGTTCCACCATTTGAAAAAAAAAAAAAGCATTTCCTCTTCAGTGAATAATGGACCTCAACATAAGAGTCCTTGCGGTTCTTACTGATTGCTGGCACTTTATGTTTTTAGTTAAACATTGTTTAAAAATATATATATAAATAAATAAATAAAAAATGATGCAATTTCAACAGAGCCACTTGTTTAGTTTAGTTAGGATAGTTTCATTAAAGGTAATTTGAGGGCCACCACGAGTGAAACCTGTGCAATTTATAGAACTTTAAATCTTTAATCTGAAATACTAAATAAATAAGAAATCCACAAACCTGAGGTTACATGAGAAGTCTCACTTTGCAACTGGTCATTCTGAAATTTCAGTTCATTCACTTGAATGCACAACTACAAACAAGAGGAAAATAAATTAATACACCATTACATTGTATGTTCCAACAAATCTACATAGCTAAATTACTGAAATATTTGGCAAGTTATATGCACCAATAGGGTAGCACATTGCAAATAGGCAATTAACAGAGCAATCAGCCAGTGAGCGCAGTATTGCACTGAAATTGCTTTACTTTTAAGAGCAATATTGCGTCTCTTGCTGGAGAAGACTGGATGCAGCACAGGGGCCCGGTGGTTAAATTCTTAAACTGTACTAAAACGGTTTGACAACAAGGAACTGAGGAAAATCGGCAGCACTGTGGAGGAAGAGTAAGAGGCAAGTAAAAAGTCTTAAAAACAGTTACTTCAACCAGAAAACTGATTTTGGTTAGAGTAACATTTGGGCTGCTGTTTGAGCACAATCCCCCAACTTACCTCCATTCCAGTGCCAAGCCAAGTTTTCCCTGCCACCACATCCTCATATTGGAAGTCACACTCTCACAACAGGACACTAGGAAGGATGGGTTGAGGGGAGAACATGGGCAGATATCACTGGCGCTTCTTGTTCCAGGCTGGCTAATGACATTTCATAGCAAAATGTTGCACACACATACTCTAGGCAGTATGAGCACTAAAAATCACTGTGGTCATGGTGCTTGGAGTAAGCTTTTACCTGCTTTTCCCCACCAATACGTCAGGGGGGGATGCCTGACTGCCCAGCTAGATAGGCACACTGCTTTGCAGCTCCTCCATAGAAGTGATAATGTGCCTGAGGTAATTTTGGGCTATCATATGGCAAAGTCCTAACAGGAGCTGATCCACTACTTAAGTAACCGGCCACCCTTGCTTGAGGTTATTTAACCCTGATTGCATAGTTTTGAAGGGTATTTGCAAATCTTGTTTGTGGATGGGAGAAATGTCCAATCTACTGGCTTGGAGAAAGCTAAATATCAAGGTAACTGAAGTGTGCCTAGTTCCCCCCCCCTCCCACATTTGGACTGGAGGTTTTATATTGCTTCTCTTTCCAGTTTTCCAATCTGCCAAATACATCCCCAAGGGGATCTCTGTGAAAGGGTCGCTCACAGGACTAGTGGAGGGATTAGTGGACTTAAGGCACGGGTTGTTAAACAGAAAGCCTACGTGCTTCCTATTTAACAAGCAACTAAAAGTTTCCTCATTATCTTTTAGGTTCCTAAGCGTAGTATATCTCCTCACATTACGCACGTCTATTATTCATTAGAGACAGCTATGTTAAATTGATATTACATTTAATCTTTTATTTTCTTATATTGACATACGCTTCCAATCCATCAATACTCACGCCTTCATTTTCCTCGTAGGCTATGTCCCTCTCACTCTTCATTACTTCATACTTCTGGAGAGTGGTTTGAATTCTTGTCTTCATAGCTTCCAGTAGCTGGTAATGATGAGATATCAGTTCCCTGGCATCGGAAATCTTAAAAGAAAAATGAGATAGAAAATATGAAAATTAGCAATAAGCAACATGGATGAAAGTCTCCCAAGAATGAGAAGTATTTATTACCTGTAACTGCAACTGGGTTTGACCATCTTCAATTTGTTCACAAACAGACTGAAATGCCTGAGACAAATTCCCCAATTCTGCATTACAAGAACGCTAAAAGGATAAAACACAAATAAAGTCAACCAACTAAATACTTCATTAAAGTGAACTGGTCAGTCTTTGAATTTTGTGTAGATACACATACAATGTACATGGCTTGGTTGCTCAGTCAGTAACATTATCAAACTAAAAGAGGGTGGAGGAGGGGAAATCTATATGGTAACAATTTGATGGGTTTTCCTGAAATATGCAAAACACAATGCAACCACAAAGTACAAATTAGTAAACTACACCAAAGTTACAAACTTTTACCTGTTGCTCATAGGCCTGTGTGATAGCCTCATTAAGCTGCTTCCCAGATTCCACGTCCTCCTGCATCTGAGCAATGATCGTGGAGTAATGAGTCTCAAGATCTTTCAAACGCTGGTCCACCTGCATGCAAGAAACATTAGCTGTCAGAAGGATTTAACAAGACAAATACCTTAAGTTGCTTTACATGTTAAAGCAACAGTAGCAGAAAATACACACAGTTAGTAATAAGCTTCTCCGGAGCTCAAAATCCAAATGTGACATACAACATGTTCATTTAAATGGAAATAAGCACCTATACAGACAACACCAAGTTTTGGAGAAATTCTATATTCTCTCAAGTTTTTAAGAATACAGAAGGGCAATTGCTCGTTATTCATATTTTCACTGGGGTTCTTTAATGTGTTTAGTGGATTTTGTCACTTATACAGACATACTTATCTATATGAAAAAATAAATTAATAAAAAACAAGTGCTATAAACAGTCTACTATAATCAAACCAATTGCTAGTCTACACAATGTATGTACTGCTTCAGGAGTGACTGAGGTGCCACTATCTCGCTGACTAGTGGAAAACTGATAAAGACATTTGATTGGATCAACACTGTAATTGGAGCAACTAATTACAGAATGAAAACAAAGAAATGCATAAATAAATAAAACTGTCCATATATATTGTGGCCATTTGAGCTTATTTTAAACCATAGGCATTGAGTTGCTACTCCAATAACACCTATATTAATCTGGCCCTGCTGGGCTAAGCAACAGACCCCTGTGGTGTAAGATCAGGTATTTTAATAAACTGGGGAGGTAAAAACCGAATCTAGTGAAACTAATATAGGTTAAATTTTGGTCTATAGTAAAAAGGGAGGGAACTAATGCTCAAAGTCATTGACACCTGGTTTGGTAACATACCAATTAACCTCTTAAAGAATACAAACTGAAAATTTAAAAATATTTTCATTTCAGCCCATAGAAGTTGGCTGACTGTTTCCAATTCAATTACCAACCCAAGAAAATCCATAGTCATGTTGAATGATAATGCTATAAATTTGACATGACCCAGGGAGAGTGAGTGAAGGTTATTAAAAGAATCTAGTGAAACTAATGCTCACTTTGGACATAGAGTAAAAGAGAAAGCTGTGCTTTTCTAATACCAGCAAGTCTGGATTTCATACCAGACAGGAATACACATGCAGATATTGTTATCTTTATATTCGAATATGTAAACCTAGATAAAAGACGATTGTAATCATATAGATCCTGGTCAAAATATAGAAAAGGGCAGATTAAATAAAGTCACATAAATAGCCAAGAAAAGGGGCCTCCGTCCAACTTATCCCAAGATAAAAAAAATAGACAATACACATACAACAACTGAAATAATGTGTATCAGACAGAACAGAAGCTTATAAAAACTGAAAAAAGTGATCAAATGGGTTTCTTTTTTTTTTTTTTTATCGCTACAAGAGAGAAACTACAACTATTGTCAAAAGCTGCTGTTTGAATGCTCAGAGGGTTACTTGATAACGGTCACTGTAGAAAAGAAAAACAAGGGGGGAGGGGGGAGCTAAAAGAAACAAGACAACCTAATGACCAAGTACCAGAACCCTTACTTTTCACCTAACCAGAATCTGATAGATCAGAAATGTTTAATAGGGAATCAATAAATGCAGGTGGGTGTAACTTAATTGTCTTTGAACTTAACTATTTAACCCTGATAAAACCAGGGGAACATTTCATCCATAAAAGCCCTGGAATTCAATTTTAGATAAGCTTTTCATTAGTTGAAAAAACTAGGTCCAAAATTTAGATAATTTTCATGATGGTAAATACTTAGTCTAACAACTCCTGTCTTGATGCTGCATCTCACGTGTTATAGGAGTTATACTCTCAAGGGTTAAAGTGATTTTACCTCATTAAACCATTTTCTGCCAGTCTTGGAAATAGCCTAAAATTTGGGTCAAGCTTGCTGGAACACAAACTTACCTTAAATACCTCTTTTTAACTGTCCTTGCACCTTCTATATGGATAAAGAGGCTATACGGAATTGGTGTACCAACAACCTTGCCTAATTGCCTCGCTGTTTGTAGGACAAAATGGTGGCACACACAGAGGCTAATGTGGATTGCATCCAACAGTCACATAGGCAAAAATTAACTCATTTAGAAAACAAAGAGACTGTTACGGTTGTCTTACCTTAAAAGGCCTCCGGTGTGCTGGAGGGCTGGTGAGAGCACACTGGTAACTAATCTGACACACACACACGGAGCCAGATAGTTACTGCTGGTTTAAATATCCTGACAGGCTCCAGATGAAAAATTGGAGCCAGGCGTTAAGATTGCTTTCTGCACGTGCCTAGCACTCTGCGATCCGTAAGTGAAATGCAACAACACCTCAGTGTTTTTTCCACATATGGAGCCTCCCAGCTGTGCGTACAGACGCACCTGTACCTCTTCCGTCACCAGGCATGGATTGGGCGGATGTGATGAAGGAGTGAAACACAGGAGCCCTTTGTGTGTTCCATAGCCTATAATAATTGAAGGCCAAGCAATCCTTCACAAACGCCAGCCAGAGCCCTCCAGGAGCCGCAGCCCCCTCACCATGCCTGTCCAAAACACAGAAAAAGTAGCTTCACCTATTCTTCCAAGGGTAGGCACAAATCTGATCTGACCTGTCTTGAGGACAGTCAAATACTGGGGAGCTCCGGGTGGAGTGGCCCTTTATGTGAGAGGAGAAAGGGGGGTGGAGACTGCATTTTTGTAAACTTTTCAATGCTAGTCCTGTGAGGAATTGGGAACTACATACCATTTGACTGCTGCTTGGGCTAAGCTTTAATCTAATGTTTAAATTACTTTATTGCATATTCTGTTTAATTTAGAATTTCTTATTCCCTGCTCTGTTAATAGTCTGATTTCACAGAGTGAATAGTCTGGGAGTGAATTGAGCAGTGAGACTGGATGGGCATGATCTATAAACCAAAACGTCTTCATTAAGCTTAATTTGCTTGGATGACTATAGTGTCCCTTTAACAATGTGCAGCATGGAGACAATTAAAATATTTAATATAGCTTTTCAATAAAGAATAGAGAACAATTACCGTTTCTTTGGCACACAGATCCTTTTCTAAATTGGCTTTCATTTCTTCTTCCCTTTCAAACACGATAGATTGCATCTTCTCTTTCACCTTACTCAAGAATGTCATGTGATCAGCTAGGAGGACCCTTAATTGGCCTATCTAATAAATAAATAAAGATAAATAAAAAAATAAAGGCAAGAGCAGGGTATAGTTTTATGTACACCACATGAGTCACACTGTAGAAATATATTCTTCTGAATAAACTCAGATTAGCAAGGTTGGCACACTGCACATATACACATATACACATGCATTCATTTATAAATAGGATGCATGGTAGTAAACAGTGAATTATGGAAAATAATGCCATTGAAGAGTACTGGAAACATCATCATAAACTACAAGACCACCGGCTCCACATTCTTCTGAGATGATCACTCTGGCAATCTCAGGCAAATCCAAAGCTCCTCAAATAGGATTCTTCTTATTACAATGCTTTTCCATGAGGAAATTTCACTGAGCTCGGTGTCATCATGATGCCAAACATTAAGATTTTACCTTTTGTAAAGTCTTTCGTAAGAATTGCCTCTAGTGGCTGTCTGATTGATTGCCATCTGCTAAACTCACAATGACTGACAGATGTAAAGCATCTGGGAATCAATATCACTAACGTAGCGGTGGTGGCTTTTGTATATACAGTGTCCCCTAAAAAGGGGGATAAAACATTTTTTAGATACATAAATGAGAAAAGAAAAGTAAAACAAGGATTAGTTAGATTAAAAACAAAAGAAGGAAGGTATGTAGAAGAGGATAAAGGTCAGGCTGACTGCCTCAATGAATATTTTTGTTCTGTATTTACAGAAGAAAATGAAGGAAAGGGACCTCAGTTGAGAAAAAGGATAAATGAGTCATTTATTACACGTGAGTTTACAGAGGAAGAGGTTCTATTTCAACTGTCAAAAGTAAAGACAAATAAGTCAATGGGACCTGATGGAATACACCCAAAGCTATTAAAAGAGCTTAGTGGTGTACTAGCAAAACCATTAACAGATTTATTTAACCAATCATTGTTAACAGGAGTAGTCCCAGAAGATTGGAAGTTAGCGAATGTTGTGCCCATTTACAAGAAAGGTAATAGGGAGGAGTCGGGCAACTATAGGCCAGTAAGCCTTACTTCAGTAGTGGGGAAAGTGATGGAAACCATGTTAAAGGATAGGATTGATGAACATCTAAAAACACATGGATTTCAAGATCAGAGACAACATGGGTTTACTTCAGGGAGATCATGCCAAACAAATCTTATTGATTTTTTTGATTGGGTAACTAAAATTATAGATCAGGGTGGTGCAGTAGACATTGCTTACCTAGATTTCAGTAAGGCTTTTGACACTGTTGCACATAGAAGGCTTATCAATAAACTGCAATCTTTAAGTTTGGATTCAAATATTGTTGAATGGGTAAGGCAGTGGCTGAGTGACAGGCAACAGAGGGTTGTAGTTAATGGAATATATTCGAAGCTTGGACTTGTCACCAGTGGGGTACCTCAGGGATCTGTACTTGGACCCATTCTCTTTAATATTTTTATTAGTGATATTGCAGAAGGTCTTGATGGTAAGGTATGTCTTTTTGCTGATGATACTAAGATATGTAACAGGGTTGATGTTCCAGGAGGGATAAGCCAAATGACAAATGATTTAGGTAAACTAGAAAAATGGTCAGAATTGTGGCAACTGACATTTAATGTGGATAAGTGCAAGATAATGCATCTTGGACGTAAAAACCCAAGGGCAGAGTACAGAATATTTGATAGAGTTCTAACCTCAACATATGAGGAAAGGGATTTAGGGGTGATTATTTCTGATGACTTAAAGGTAGGCAGACAATGTAATAGAGCAGCAGGAAATGCTAGCAGAATGCTTGGTTGTATAGGGAGAGGTATTAGCAGTAGAAAGAGGGAAGTGCTCATGCCATTGTACAGAACACTGGTGAGACCTCACTTGGAGTATTGTACACAGTACTGGAGACCGTATCTTCAGAAGGATATTGATACCTTAGAGAGGGTTCAGAGAAGGGCTACTAAACTGGTTCATGGATTGCGGGATAAAACTTACCAGGAAAGGTTAAAGGATCTTAACATGTATAGCTTGGAGGAAAGACGAGACAGGGGGGATATGATAGAAACATTTAAATATATAAAGGGAATCAACACAGTAAAGGAGGAGACTATATTTAAAAGAAGAAAAACTACCACAACAAGAGGACATAGTCTTAAATTAGAGGGACAAAGGTTTAAAAATAATATCAGGAAGTATTACTTTACTGAGAGGGTAGTGGATGCATGGAATAGCCTTCCAGCTGAAGTGGTAGAGGTTAACACAGTAAAGGAGTTTAAGCATGCGTGGGATAGGCATAAGGCTATCCTAACTATAAGATAAGACTAGGGACTAATGAAAGTATTTAGAAAATTGGGCAGACTAGATGGGCCGAATGGTTCTTATCTGCCGTCACATTCTATGTTTCTATGTTTCTATGTTTCTATGTCTCTTTAAAGCTCTATTGTATAATTCAGAAGGTTTATCACCAGAAGCAAAGATCAGTCACAAAACCATAGAAACCAAATGAATACCGGTATATATATTTAAGGATTCAGCAGGACTGGAAATTGCAGGCCAAAATAGCCAAGTTGGAAAATTTATTTATTTTAGACTAAACTTTGCAATATTACGAGCTGTTCTCCACACTTCTTGAAAAATGTGTATTTCTGACCCTATAGTATTAAAATCTTACTTTAGTCCCAGGGCCCAACCACTTCTCCCCATTAAAAAGAAAACACCTTTATTACAGAGCTGCGTGGGTCTGCCGGCGCTGCCTCCGCCTTCTCAAACAGACATCAGAATTGACAATCTCAGCCAATCCAATGCTTTACCATAGGAAAGCATTAGGTGGTATTACGTATGCGCAGCAAAAGCTGCGTCAATCAGAATCTCCTCATAGAGATGCTATGAACCAATGCATCTCTATGAGGAATGTTCAGAGTTGCCATGCTTGGAGATGCTGAACTTCAGTGCTGCACACTGACACTGTGCAGCACTGACACAGGGGCTGTATGAGTGACTGCCACTGGAGATGTTTCTAGGCAGCAATATAAATACTCAATTTTCTCTGAAAAGCCAGGGTTTACATTAAAAAGCTTGCAGGGACAAGCAGTAGAAACTGTGACTATAGTGTCCATTTAAAATAAAATTCTAAAGGACACTGTAGGCATCCAGACCACTTCACACAACAATTTACATTGCAGGGCTAAACACACCTTACGAAAAAAGATTTTAAATTAGTAATTCAGTTCAAAGAAAGGGGCAGCTCACCAAGTCCGTATTGACCATTTGTGTTATCTCATGCAACATCTCAGCAAACTCAGTTATGGAAGAGAACTGGGTCTTGTCCAATTCCTGGAATATAAAAAGAGACTATGTTAATGGTGAATGGAATCCACATAAGGGTTTCAATTAGTATTTTTTCAGAACTGTCCACAGGACCCAGAAAAAGGCTAGAATTTAAATGTATATCCTTGTTTTAACATACAATCAGTTTTTTTCATTTTGACACTTGTGGGTCAGTACTGAGAAAAGGTTTAAATGAAGATGGCTTTAGAGTTCTAAATCCATGTGTTACACACACTAGAGCATAGATGTCTCTTGGCCTAACTTGACATAAGGAGATATTCAGTTCATCAAAAACAATTTTTTTGCAGTTTAGGGGTTCTAAGATTAGTGCTTACTAGGGATGCACCGAAATGAAAATTATAGGCCGAAACTGAAACCAAAAATTCAGGATGCCCTTGGCCGAAAACCGAAACCGACTTCCCACCCCGCCCCCCAAATGAGTTTAAATTTTTTTTCCCTATAATTGTATTCATATTAGACTTTTTAATTAATTTAATTAAATATGAAAAAAAAAAAAAAAAACTTTCCTTCTCCCTTCTCTTTTAGTGCTCCCCTTAATGTTCCTCTCCTCCCTCCCTCTTTTTTTAGTGTTCTCCCAAGTCCCATAGTGTTCCCCCCTTCCCCGTCCCATAGTATTCTTTTCTCCCCTGTCCCATAGTATTCTTTTCTCCCCCCTCCCCTGTCCCATAGTGTTCTGTTCTCCCTCCCCTGTCCCATAGTGTTCTGTTCTCCCTCCCTCCCCTGTCCCATAGTGTTCTGTTCTCCCTCCCTCCCCTGTCCCATATAGTGTTCTGTTCTCCCTCCCTCCCCTGTCCCATAGTGTTCTGTTCTCCCTCCCTCCCCTGTCCCATAGTGTTCTGTTCTCCCTCCCTCCCCTGTCCCATAGTGTTCTGTTCTCCCTCCCTCCCCTGTCCCATAGTGTTCGGTTACCGGGGCCTGCACAGCTTCCCCCTGAGTTTGAAAGAGATCTGTCTTTTCCTCTTGAGTGCGTTGCATGCATTGAAGACTTTCCATTGAATTTAAGTACAGGTTGTGATAATATTGTTCATCCTAAAGGGAAATTAAAACCGTAAACACGTAAAGGACATGGCCCATAGCTTACAAAGACATAGCAGGTATAGGCTTCGATCAAAACTTACTTGTATTCGCTCTGTATACTAGCAGGGAATTGTAGTTCAAATACCAGCTTTCTACTGAAGCACTGAGGGAATTGCTAATTCCCATGTTAGCCACATTGATGTATTAAACCAAAACATCTGAATTATTAATGCCAGTTTTATCCAATCAGGTTAACCTTGATTGACTGAGCATGCTGGAGCAAGTTAGAGAATCAATGTTGTCCAGGTTGAACATAACTGACACTGATAATGCAAATATGTTAAAAGGACACTATAGTCACCAGAACAACTACAGCTTAATGTATTTGTTCTGGTTAGTAGAATCCAGAAAACAGTCTTTTCAGAGAAAATTCAGTATTTACATTACAGCCTAGGGATACCTCAAATAGCCACTCCTGGGGCAGTGCAGAACTGCCATTCACGGTCTTCACCCTCTGCATGGAGACCCGGAACTTTCCCCATTCAATGCATCTCTATGAGGAGATGCTGATTGGCAATGGCTGTGTTTAAACTTGCTCTGCCCCGATCTGTTTCCTTGACAATCTCAGCCAATCCTATGGGAAAGCATTGTGATTGACTCAGACCACCACTTCTGATGATGTCAGCCAAACAGGCAGATCAGGGGCAGAGCCAACAGCAGCAGACTGCAAATAAAAGTAAGATTTTGCTATATTTAGGGGGGCAAGTGAGGTCCAGGGTAGGCATGTGCATGGGGAAAATATTCGGCTCGGCATTCCAAAATTCGGGACTTCTCTTGCAGCCGCTTGGTAGATAACTCGCTAATTCCCACGGTATTAGGGAGTTAGCTACCAAAAGGCTGAAAGACCTAAATTAGTAAATTTGGCTGAAAGACCAATTTAGGTCTTTCAGCCTTTTAATAGATAGCTCCCCAATACCGTGGGAATTAGGGAGTTATCTACTTATTCATTCCTGTCATTACATGACTGGCCAAGTAATTTACATTTTATATGAATGTATGTTACTTGATTGTTATATTGCAAACACTTACAGCTGAATCCTGGCTATGTTTGTATAATTTTTATTTAAAATTGTATACAATGTAACATTTGTCTTCTTTCACTGGGTAAGTATATTAGTACTTGGGCAATACTGTGCTTCGGAACTTCGGCACTACTACACTTCGGAAATTCGGTAATTTCGGCAATTCAGCTATTCAGAAGCACCCGAATGTCCGAATTACCCGAAATTCAGCCGAATTTTAATTCGGACCGAAACGAATTGCATATGTCTAGTCCAGGGGGCTAGATGATGGTTTTAACATTATAGGGTCAGGAATACATTAGATTTACAAACAAGGTGTGGAAAAGTGGCGCTATTAGAATATGGTGGAAAAATGAAATGTAGCTGCTAAAAACACTCCGTGGGTACTCCTATACACCCACCACACATAAAGAAATCACCAAGAGAAATAGATAAACTTGAAAGGTTTGCAGGTATAACCGTTAAACCCTCAGTTTTTCTCGAGTGTAGCACAAACAGGAATACATGTTTGTGTTTCTGACGCTATAGTGTTCCTTGAATTCTGCATTATCAATACAAGAATGAGAGGACAGTGGCCCCTTGGTCCTGGGGAAAACCTCAGTTTATATCTAACATTGTTATATGGTTTGTTATTAAAGGGACATTAGAGACACCAAAACCATTATAGCTCAATGTAAACGGTCCCTGCAGGCTGAGCAGTGTAAATGCAACAGGATGGATTTGATTTAAATCAAGTCAATTTCAATCACTAGTCAGTAAATAATTATTTAAATCATGATTTTTAAACATAAAATAAGTTCTGATATAACTGTTAAACTAAACTAATCTATATCAGTATATTCATACAATATTTAATGCTGAATAAACCTTTGAATTATAATGCATCGTAAATAGAAGGCTATCTTTAGATCACTCAATAATTCATTGTTTAGTAGATATACTACTAATAAAAATGTGCAAAAACAACTTGCAAAAGCTTGTGTTCTATTGTCTGAATCATATGCAAGTCCTCCCCTTCAAACCCCGCCCAGACTTTCTGTGGCTGTCCAATCACAGATTTCCCAATACAGCAAAATGAGAAGTCTTTGAAAGGTAGTTGCTCTGGACAGTTCTCTGTCTCTTGGGTTTCCACGTCTTGAGTCTATATTTACAAGTGCTTTTGTACCTCTCTGCACTGTCTTTCTTTTCTGTATCTTTTAGCATTTCTAGGGACATGCAGATACCCCTGTTGTGGTAAGACTTTGAGGTACTGATTCTATTTTACACTAAGCGTAAGCCCTTGCTAGACAAGTGGGATTAACACTAGCCATCTATACCTACTTTATTACTTCTATCCCCCTGTTTCAATTCTTCTGGTTAATTCTCCCTCCCTGAAGTAGCAGGATTTAATTTTGGAGGACTTTTTAGGAGTATCTAGGTTTTTTCCTATTTTATATATTTCTTTAATCTCCTTCTCTTTATTGACCATCTACATGACGGCACTATTCACAGTCAATAGATAGCTATTTTTAATATATTTTACATGTTTGCACTCACATTTATTTTTATTTGCTGTCCTCATTTTTAACATGATTATGTAAGGTTATTTCAGATATTGTATCCTATCTCCGAACACTATTTTTCTGGACCAACGCTAGCTGGATCATTATTAGCTTACACTCACCGTCTATTAAACATGTTGCACCTTGATTTACTAAACATTATTTATACCGTTCTTTGCTAAAATTAGTCTACACTCTACCTACTTACTGCAGTGGTAGAAGTAGCACAGGTCTGTGTTGAAGAGTCTTTTTGTTCCAAAGGTCTTAGAGATCCACCATTATTTTTCCATTCCTGAAGCTGACTGGAGAGAATTTGGATCACAATTGAACTGTTCTCTAATCGATTAATCAGTTCCTCTCGCGATGTCTCACATAGCGAGCTCCGGGAAAAGCTAGAAACGGTGGAACAGAAAATAAATTAATCCCCAAAATGCAGCAAAAATTCAGACAGTAGAAAAAGAACGAAAATAAAAACATAGACAACACTGCAGAACCTACTTCCAAAGAAGGGAGTCTGTCTCTGAGGCACAGTCTTTTCCAGAACAATGCTGCGAGGTGTTAACACTTTTGTTGAGCAACATAATGGGTGTAGTCCATGTAGCATTACTTGATTGTGTTATTGGTGTTATGGATGTCCCACATTCCAGTGGAGAGCTCTCTAAAGTTGGAACAGGTTTGCTGCATGTGCTTATACTGGACACTGGAACACTGTGCAATGTTTGATGTAGCTGCATTATTGGAGGAGCACAGCTGTGTCTTGCATTAGTGGAGGAGTACAGATCCATACCTCCTCTGTTCTCCTTGAATGCAGAACTACTAGCATTTAATAATGGCCAAAGCGGTCTACAGAGATGAGGTGTGTCAGTCTTATCAACAGCAGTTACAGAAATGTAATCATGGTCACAATGTTTTACAGATCGTGCTTTCAAACCACTCGCTGTCGATGAAACAGGATCTGGAATATGGTCTTCCATAAGAGAAGCATAAACGTCTGTAAATTCATTACTGTACATGTCATGGTCAGCTAGCATTTCCTCGGTCTGAAGAAAGCAGCTATCCGAAGACAAGCCCTTGCAAGTCGACTCTGCTACAGTGTTCTGCTCTGCATTCTTGCTTGTTACTGAGAAGTTTACAAAATTAGATTTATCGGTGATATTCTCGGGATCCAAAGTTATGGAGATTTTTGAAGGATCATCATCTTGGTCATTAGGAATTTTATCCATATTCGGAGGTTTATCAGTTAGACTTTCAGGTGAAAAACATGAAACACACTGTGTCAAGATTTGGTACAGTTCAGTTTCAGATTGCAACAAATCTGGAAGATCAGAAGTCTCATTGAAAAAAACATTGGCTGACTCAAACAGGAGCATCTCTTCATCTGTAGCAATTACATTACTTTCTCCCGGGCAGGGCGACACAGTGGCTTGTTTAAACATCTGCTCTGTTCTAACATTAAGAACGGGTTCAATTTCATATGTGCCATCAGCTAGACCATCGTGCAACTGGTCAGAGTCAACTATTAACTCAAGTTCTTCAGCAATTGAGGGACATTCATTTGTTGATAGAGATGGGCACAGATTTACAAGACTCGTTTCTACAGAGGTGCTATCACAGATTTTACCATGCATACTAAGTAAATCATCAGACACCTTTAAAGATTGACTTCTATGGTTTGAAGTAACTAAATTTTCGTTTTCTGGGGCATATGATTCACATGTATGGTTTACAATACATAATGCTCTGCACTGATCTTCCATCACAGGTACATGAACTCTGGAAACAGTTGTAAGATTTTCATTCCTATTAGCTAAACATTCCTTAATGTAAAGTACTGATGAGTGAACAGCATCATTTTGAAGCTTATCGGTTTTAGATTCAGGATTCCCTAAGTCTTGGCTTTCTTCAAGTTCCAGTTCAGTAGAAGTCTTCCCTTCCATTGACCTGTTAGCTTTTACATCAGGAACAGGAAGTGCTTTCATTTCAGATGAAGAAGATACATTCTCTGAGAGTTGCAGATTTGGGCTAGGCTGACTGGAATGCTCTTTACTTGCCAGATTAGAAGAAGGGGATTCTAGATTACATTTTTCAAATCGGGACTCAAAAAGAGAACATGGTAACAGTTTATTAGTCTTCCTTTTTATACAGTCTGTCGAAGTAACCAAAGAGTCCTTACAAACATTGACAGGAGTACTTGTATTACTGTATGAAGATTCCTATGTAAAAAAAAAAAAAAAAAAAACAATGGATATCACACAATGAGAAAAAATAAATATATATCACAATAAAAAAATTAAAAAAAACAAAAAAAAAAAAAACATGATTCACATTATAGGAAGTAGGAAACATATTCCTAATAAATTCATCATAAAATCGATTTTCCTTAAAACATGGTATTGTAGAATATGAGACCCACTTCAGGATAATTTGTAAATTAAATAGAATTTGTAGTAAAGGAAGTGTAAACATTAAATCTCACTTTACAGGAAGTGTTTAGGAAGGCTGTGCAAGTCACATGCAGGGAGGTGCGACTAGGGTGCACAAAGTACATTGAATTGAAGCGAATTGAGCAGTGAGATGGCACTGACACGCTTACTCTTAATGGCTCATCAAGAGTATAACAGGAGCCGTTAATAACTATATACTGCCTGGATTTAATTTTAGGGCATTATAGTAGCGTGTCTTAGTAGACATCTTTAAGTCCCATTAATACCCTCCACCAGGCCAAAGGGGACTGTGCCACTCATTGAGTCTTTGAATGGTATTACTGTGTTACAGGGGGCCCCCCATGCTTTATTATTGTTTTAAAATGATTGTATTAATAGGAAGAAAAATTGGCTGTTGGATGCAGTTGTCACTTTAATCTGGTCTGTTTTCATGTAGCAGGATAGGTTTTAGACTTTAAAAGACAGCAGCTGCTGGTAAAATCAGCAAGGTTTTACCCAGGTGGTAACTAATTTTTAATAGCCTTTATTAGATTTTATTTTGTAATCTCTGTTGAGAATAGAGAAGAGACCAGCATTAATAATAGCATCACGGAGTAAACTCCGAAAAAGTATGAATAAATATAGTTTGCATGCAATTTCGCTTTATGAATCAGCAGAACAAGTATCGGCTTTACCTTTAAATGTTGACCGGAAGCATGAAGACTGAATGCTTTCTGGGAAGATCTTGTAATTCTTTGTTCAGATGTAGCAACATCAGGAGCTGTAAGATCCTCAAGGGATGTTCGTTCATCAGCTTTATGAAGTGTCTAACAGGAAGAATTATTTTAGTGATATGTGAAGAAAAAAAAAAAAAAAACTCACGTGCAAGGTTCCCATCTAAATCTATTGAAAGACAGGTATATCCTGGTTGACCTGGAGTCTAGGTTCTAAGTCTTCATAAAAATATTTCAGGCTAAGTGTTTTGAACGTGAAGAGGGGAGCTAACTATTTGGTCATACTGCCACTTACGATCTGGGAAAATGTATTAAGCATTTGTTTTTTTGTGTTCTTGCCTAAAAATAACAATTGCGAAATACCTAAGAAAATTTATAGTTTTGGAAAAAAAAAAAATCAGATTTTTACTATTTTGTTACCAAAAACTGGACTTTAGAATTATGTAGTTATTTTTTTTTTCCCCAGGTGATATTTCAGAATTATAGATGTAGAAAAATCATAGTGTTAAAAATTAGATAGCATGTTCTAAAGCAGGATTTTAATACAAATAGTGTCTGTTCACTGTTGTAAAAACAATTTTTAAAAAGCCCCCACCCCCCCTTCTAATGAATAGCCCATGGTGGGCGATCTATTAACTAGTGGGGGTCAAAATAGTCCCTATTTTGTCTTATATTTTAAAGAAAACTAGAGCAGATAGGAAAAAAAAAAGAAGAACAGATCCTGAGAGAGGAAGTGAAGAGGAGGAGATTGGGAAAAGGCAAGTTTGGCATCACAGTGCCGCTTTAAAGGGATTAGTATAGTCACCATAACGAAACAGTTCTGGTGTGTAGGTCATGCCCCTGCAGTCTCACTACTCAATCCTCTGCAATTTAGGAGTTAAATCAATTTGTTTATGCAGCCCTACCCACACCTCCCCCGGCTATAACGCACACAGCCTGCATGGAATAAAAAATGCTTACATTTTCAATCAAATCTTAACTCTTTTTTTATATTTGATTATCTTCTGTTCTGTAAATTGACCTTATAAATCACACACAGGAGGCTTCTGCAAGGTCTAGCAGACCATTAACTGCAAGAGATAAGAATTTCTAAATTATATAGACTGTGCAATAATGGATGTGTCTAGGAAAGCTGTGTAAGTTACATGCAGGGATGTGTGACTAGGACTGTATAAACAAAATGATTTAACTCCTCAATGGCATAGAATTGAGCAGTGAGACAGCAGGTGCATAATCTATACAAGAAAACTGCTTCATTAAAGGGATACCATAGCCACCAAAACAACTTTAGCTTAAAGGAGCACTATAGTCACCTAAATTACTTTAGCTAAATAAAGCAGTTCTAGTGTATAGATCATTCACCTGCAATTTCACTGCTCAATTCACTGTCATTTAGGAGTTAAATCATTTTGTTTCTGTTTATGCAGCCCTAGCCACACCTCCCCTGGCTATGATTGACAGAGCCTGCATGAAAAAAACTGGTTTCACTTTCAAACAGATGTAATTTACCTTAAATAATTGTATCTCAATCTCTAAATTGAACTTTAATCACATACAGGAGGCTCTTGCAGGGTCTAGCAAGCTATTAACATAGCAGGGGATAAGAAAATCTTAATTAAACAGAACTTGCAATAAAGAAAGCCTAAATAGGGCTCTCTTTACAGGAAGTGTTTATGGAAGGCTGTGCAAGTCACATGCAGGGAGGTGTGACTAGGATTCATAAACAAAGGGATTTAACTCCTAAATGGCAGAGGATTGAGCAGTGAGGCTGCAGGGGCATGTTCTATACACCAAAACTGCTTTATTAAGCTAAAGTTGTTCAGGTGACTATAGTGTCCCTTTAATGAAGACATTTTGGTGCATAGCTCATGCCCCTGCAGTTTCACTGTTCAATTCTCTGCCATTTAGGCACACCTCCATGCATGGGACTTGCACAGTCTTCCTAAATACCTACTGTAAAGAGTAATCTAATGTTTACACTTCCTTTTTTGTAAATTCTGTTTACTTTAGAATGTCTTATCTCCTGCTCTGTTAACAGGTTGCTAGACCATGTAGGAGTTTCCTTGATGTAACTAAAGTTCAATTTACAGAGCAGGAGATAAAAACTTTTAAATTAAAGTATATCTGATTGAGTGTGAAACCATTTGTTTTCATGCAGGCTGTGGGAGTCACAACCAGGGGTGGTGTGTCTAGGGTGAGTGATCCAACTCCTAAATGACAGAATTGAGCAGTGATACTGTGGATGCATGATCAATACACTACAACTACTTCATTAAGCCAACGTTGTTTTGGTGACTATACAGTGCCTTTAAGCACTTTACTATTATTTGTAAGTAACAGCCATATTTACTATGTCAGTAATATTTTATTAATGTGTTTAATTTGCAGTGTGAAAAATATGTAATGTATGAACTTTAGCTCCATTAATTAGCATAAAACCAAACTAAAGCAAAGCACAGTGTTCCTTTCAATTTATATATTATATAAGCAGCAGAAACACTCTGAAGCTGACCTCTCCTACAAGCAGCTTTGTAGTCACTGATGAAGTTTCGGCCATGTTTCTCTTCAGATCCTGAAAAGGAGTTGCATCTCTTGGGTGCTCTCAGACATGCATGAGAGTGCAATACAGCATTCTATGGAAGATCCCGTAGGACCATGTGATCCACCACAGATTGCTTTCTGGGCATCACACACTAAGATGCCAGAGCCAATGATCTGCTGTTCCATCCACACTTTGCCAACTGACTCACATGATACATAGGGGTTTACATATAATAGTGGTGTATTCTGAAATGGACTTACAAGTATGTAAAACAGGTGAAGTCCATAGAAATTCTCATTTTTAAAACTTTTATACATAACCCCCAAAGTAGTTCCTAAACTTTTTCATATATATCTTTTGAGTATGTTGGAATTTAGGTTCTATCTTTATGACAAACTTTTTTTTTTTTTTATTCTTTATTTGTGCATATGGTTAACAAGCATGTTTGCTGTGCCACAACAGCTGGAGCAAACTGGACTGTATACATAAGAAAAACATTAATATGGCATTAAAGGCATTGCACATTTTTAAAGTAAGTAATCAGGATGCAAAAGTTAAATCAACGCTTCAGTTACTAAATGCTATTTCAAATATACATTCTGACTTTACTGTAAGGTTGTAGGGTCACAGGCTTAGTTAAAATAGCTATGAGAGTAAGCTTGACGAGCAATTTAAAAACAAAACGCTAGAACTTAAGAGTGATAGGAGTTAAACATGTTGAGCAATCTATCCCTCGTGTGTAGTGATAGTGTCACTCGGTTGGGGGTCACAGCGTGAGTAATTAATAGGATTGAGTACCCTAAACCCCTTTTAAGAAGCATAAAGCAGAATATGTATGAGGACACCCCTATTAATAAAGCAATATGTCCAGGTAGGGCAGGCTAGAGTTCAAGAGAAAAAAGTGATGAAAAGCAAATACCGGATAACATCAGCTTGTAACAATGCTCCTTTGTGGGTGATGTCCCAATGTACCATATAACGTCCTGGTCCCATCGCTTGTTGGAGCTCAAAGTGGTAAATCAGGGGGGGCATGGATGCTGTACAGCTCAGTCAAAGTGTCCTAGTTTACCCAATGCCTGCTTTGGGTAGAGCTCTGATCCACAGTGCACATTAGCTTATGAGGTCGACATGTTGACGTGGGAGGCAGTGGAACAGGGAATACTTGCTGGTAGGAAGCTGTGCCCTATACCGGTTGGCTCTACAGTTGTCTGTGCGTGTCTTCGAGTGTGGGGTTGCGCTTCGGTGGTCGTAAGGTTCCGGTGCCTCTGAGTGGTGAGTGTGTCGGACGGGCTTGGTTTTCTCGTTCTGGTATACGTGTGGCTGACTGCCGGTGTTGGAGGGATACGTCGCCATCTCCTGTCGTTTTGATCTCCGATCCCATCTCTGGCCAGAGGCCGTTCTGGGGGCTCGAAGTATGTGTCTGCAGAGGTGGCGCCGGGTAGCTGGGCGAACTCATGCCGCCATTTCTCTTAATGCCAGGTGGAGGGACCGGCCTCTGATACGGAGTTTAGTCCATAGATGGTTACAGAGCCAGTCAGAAAATACCAGGGTGTGTTCGGGTGGCTTGGTGAGGGTGCTTTTCGGCGCCGGTCTCACCTGTGCCGCCATCTTGGCTGGGCCCCCATAGTCCCACTCGGGTGTGTGTCTGGTCGCTTGTTGGAGCAGTGTTGTGGGGGTAGTCGTCCCCAGCGAGGACTGAGATATCCCCCGCCGGTCCATGGGGGGGAGGGGGATAGCGGGGCAGTCATCGAATTTCGCTTGGGAGCAGGTCTCGTGCCGGGGGATCGGCAGCCTCCCCCAGGCCTCGTGTTCCGCTCCAGTTTAGGCCGCGTGGCCGGTTCACGTGCTCGTAGTGTGTATCGGTGCAAGTCGGGTGTCATTCTATTCCCCGTGTGGCCCTGCACTGGTTTTTGGGCTCCATGTGTTGCTGGCTTTGTTAGATTAGCCAGGAATATCGTGACTGTGCCTGCTGGTGCTAGAGCTCTCAGAGAGCACGTCCGGCCATCTTGGCTGTCAGGACCCACCCCCCCATGACAAACTTATTGTTGCTTTATATGACCCTGTCATACAGTATATTTTGAACCCATATGAACAGCACAGCATGAATAATTACGGTTTTAATTGACTTTTCCCATTCTTAAATGGTATAGTCCAGAGGTAGGCAACTTTCCGCATTCCAGATGTGGACAACATCGCCCTTGATGCTGTGTCAGCATTATTGCTATAATAGCATAATGGGAGATGTAGCCCATAACATCTGGAGTGCCAAAAGGTTGTCGACACTTTATTGTTTACCTTTAAATGTGGATTGCTTTCAAAAGCATCATGGCTGGATATTTTCTTGGAAGAAGATCGAGTAATCCTTTGGTTGGGTGTAGCAATATTTAGAGCTGTAAGGTCCTGCAGTGGTGGTCGTGCAACAGATTTATGATGATCCTAAAAATTAGAATTTTTGGGGGTGAAACAGGAGAAAAAAAAAAAAAAGGTGTGATGTATCAATATCATATATAGCTTCTAATTGTGTTGACATTTGAATGCTATTATTTATGATAAACTCAAACTTAACACTGCTGCTTTATAGGACACGGTCATTGAGTATACACACCGCAGCATGACTAAATTAGGTTTGCATGGATTTTTCATATTCGGAATGTGCAGGACTGGTACAAGCTTTACCTTTAAATGTTGATTGCTTTCAAAAGCAGAATGGCTAGATATTTTCTTGGAAGAAGATCGAGTAATCCTTTGATCAGGTGTAGCAATATTTAGAGCTTCAAGGTCCAGGCATGGTGTTAGTTCATCAGATTTATGATGAGCCTAATAGAAAAAATTTTGGGGGGTAAGGCAAGAAAAAAAAAAAAAAAAAAGACATTGGTTGCCTATATAGGTTCAAAATGTGTAGAAATTTGGAATCAATCTTTATAACAAACTCAAATGTAAGAGTGCTGTGATGTTCATACAGAAGAATTGTTTGGGTGATGAGACAGGAGGGGAAAAAATGTATGGTGTATCAGTTTTATTTATAACTTCTAACTGTTTTGAAATTTGTATTCTATCTTTATTTTGTTTTTTAAATTCTTTATTTTTGCTATGGCAAATGATACAACATGCAGCAGCAGCCAAAGAATATTTGCAGTAGTACAATCATCAAGGTATGGCACTTTTTATCACAACGTACAGTTGTTACAATAAAGCATGTGTTTTTCCGTAGCACAAAATAAATGTAATACATGTGTCTACTCCGCAAAAGGTTATGTGTACAAAAGAGAGGTGGGAGAAAAAAGTTGGGTCAGCCATCGGGGCAGGAAAGCAGAGATCTAACATCTTATTCGTGTCTCTGACCTGAGCCGTCAATTATTCCATAAAGTAGGTTTATAATTTTTTTGTATAACTATATATAAAGTAGGGGTTTTCCGGTCTCAACTAGCTTTGGACTAGGGCCCGTCTAGCAGTCATCACCAATTTATGTGGGAGTTTTTGTTCTGTTTTTGTACAGCCATCTTGTGGCCTAGATAACAGGAAGACCCATGAGTCGAACTTTACCCTTCTTTGAAATATTCCTGCGAATAGGTCCCCAAGTTTTCTACAAAAAAGGTCTATACTTTTAAGCATTCCCACCACATATGAATGCGTGTGTCTCAGTGACCATATCTCCGCCATATATCCAATTTGTGGAATTGCCTGATGCTTGTTGGAATGTCTGCAAGGTGGAGCAAGTGGTCCTAACAATACATCCAGGAAGATTCACCAGAAGTATGGGCTAGGGGTTACCAGCAGAAGAAAAGAGTTGGGTCAGCGATCAGGCTAATTTCCCTACAAAAGGCATTCCCCACCACATATGAATATATATGCCTCTGTGACCACATCCCTGCCAGCAACGGTTGTCTGGTATAAGATACATTTTGACCGGAGTAGTATACCAACAAAACATTGTCTTGTAGGTCTGTTCTTGTAACAAAACGCATACTGAAGTATTTTTTTTTCTTAGCTTCCCAAATGTCTTTCCAGTCTGTTCATTCCTAGGTCAGTATAGGGCAACTTGCCAAACCCTAAAGTACTAAAGCCTATAAGAGTATATAGTGAGGTGATGAAGACTCTCTGGAAGGATTCATTAAAACACATCCTTTCATAGAACGCCAGCTGCTTATGTGCCGCTTCCTTAATATGTTTTTTATTTACAAAGTTTCTTATTTGAATATATTTGAAGAAGTCAGTGGGCTTTAATGCTCTTCTATCTGCTAATTCTTCTAATGCTATAACGTTCTCACCCTCATATAGATGGCATATTCTTTGTAGCCTCGTATGTTATATACCTTTAAAATCATGGTCTCTTATTCCCGGGGGAAAAGCCCTATTCCTCATAAATGGAATCATACATGAAAGGGAAGAAGTTAGAACAAGTTTTTTGTATTTCAGATAAATAACTTGCCATTGCATCATTATTTAGACTATTGCATATATTAGTCAGGGACTCCAAGTTCACACACCTTCTTTCATGAAGAGGCATATGCCAGATTGCAATCTGAGACAACTAGGATGCTATATTTTAAAATAAATTTGGTAACCCTAAGCCACCTGCTAATTTGGGGCGATATAGAATATTAAAGGACCACTATAGTGCCAGGAGAACAAACTCGGTTTCCTGGCACTATAGTGCCCTAAGGGTGCCCCCACCCTCAGGGTCCCACTCCCGCTGGGCTGAAGGGGAAGGAAGGGGTTAAACACTCACCTTTCTCCAGCACTGGGCTCCCTCGGCGCTGGGGACTCTCCTCCTCCTTCCGACGTTATCGGCTGAATGCACATGCGTGTCAAGAGCTGCGCACGCATTCAGCCAGTCCATAGGAAAGAATTCACAATGCTTTCCTATGGACGCTGGCGTCTTCTCAATGTGAAAAATCACAGTGAGAAGCGCGGAAGCACCTCTTGCGGCTGTCAATGAGAAAGCCACTAGAGGCTTGATTAACCCATATGTAAACATAGCAGTTTCTCTGAAACTGCTATGTTTACAGCAGGCAGGGTTAACCCTAGATTGACCTGGCACCCAGACCACTTCATTAAGCTGAAGTGGTCTGGGTGCCTATAGTGGTCCTTTAAGAGACACTCTGTGTAGCTCGTTTTTCCATATAAAGGCATCTATTTATTTTTGAATGTGGGCTAGACCCAACTTGGTGATTGGAATCGGCAGAGCTTGGAACAGAATATATAAGGGAGGATATTCATCTTCACAGAGTGTACACTACCATCCATGATATAGGCTTGTCAACCTGTCTTTCCATTTCTTATATCAGGGTCTTGAACATTGGACTCATTTTGGTGGTACAATGTTGAGGGGTCTGCCGTTAAACACCTAAATATTTCATGGCTGTATTGGTAATCTGAATGTGATAGTTATCACCAACGAATGCTGTGTCCGCCGCCAAGAGATCCAGGGGTAGTGTGCTTCACATACCGAGATTGACCTTGTATCCCAATAGAGCATTAAATTAGTCTAATACCTCTGCTAGGGCCCCCATAGATTCTCTTGGATGTGTTAATGTGAAGAGGACATAGTCTGACACTAGAAACTGCTGTCCTCCTACTGTTACGCCATGAATATCTTCATGGTCTCGCATGGCTTGTAGTAGCAGTTCTAGGGCCAATACGAAAAGTAGTGGCGAAAGTGGAAATCCTTGTCTGGTACCATTGTTTAACTTAAAAGGCGTACTTAGAGCGCCTTACATTTTAATTTGCACCTTGACATCTGTATGCATAGCCCTAATTGCCTCTGCATATGATTCCAGGAACCCTAAATGAGATACAAGTTCAAATAGGTAAGGTCATTTAATCCTGTTAAATGCTTTTTAGGTGTCCACCAACAGGATCAATAATGGCGTTTTAGTCGCCACCTCCCTCCAAATAATGTCCACTTTGTGCCTGGTATAAAAGGAACAGTTGGCTACCGGGAATAAATCCTACTTCATCTGCTTTTAAAAGGCACAGCAAGAAGAGATTTAATCTTTCCCAAGATTTTGGTAGAGTTTTCGTGTCATGGTTTATTAATAACTACATGGGCCTATAATTTTGAGACAAGGAGTAAACTTTTCCAGGCTTTGGGAGTAATGCGATGTTAGCTACTGACATTTCTCGATCTGGAGGTCAACCTCGCATTAGATCATTGAACCAAGATTCCATGTGGGGTACCAAATCCTTTTGGAAGGTCTTATAGCACTGTCTGTCAAAACCATCTAGACCCAGGGCCTTATTGCCTTTCAGTAAAGATATTGCGTTCTCTATTTCTTCACACAAGATCTTGCCCTTCATGGTCCCAATGGTTTCATCATTAAACCTCGGCAAGTCTAATTTGGAAAATATAGCCACTCCTCCCTACCCGCAGGATCTCTTTGGGTGTGATAATAGTCTGAAGACTTGAGCAATGTCTACTTCAGACATTATCAAGGATTCATTCGCATCCTTGATCTTGATTATCTGGGGGTGTCTCTGTCTGTGCCGCAAGGTTCTGGCGAGAAGTGAGTCCATTTTGTTTTTTTGTCCCCCTAGACCAAGTGATGGACAGGGCAACATTGTTTTAGAGCATTTCACGAATCAACAACCTCAGTGCATAGTTTGGATTCTATCTTTATGATAAACTCAAATGTAAAAGTACTGCTTTGTATGACACTGTCATTGAGTGTACTCAGAAAAAGTATGAACATCACAGCATGAATAAATAAGATTTCAATCCATATTTCACATTCGGATTGTGCAGAACTGGTACAAGCTTTACCTTTAAATGTTGCTTGCTTTCAAAAGCAGAATGGCTGGATATTTTCTTGGAAGAAGATCGTGTAATCCTTTGATCAGGTGTAGCAATATTTAGAGCTGTAAGATCCTGCAGCGGCGTTCGTTCAACAGATTTTTGATGAACCTAAAAATGTGAATTGTTTGGGAAGACCAAAAAAAAAAAAAAAAATGTATGAGTTTTATATTTAGCTTCTTATTGTGGTGACTGTTTGAATCTCTCGTTATGATAAGCTCCAATGTAACACTGCTGCTTTACAGGACATGGTCATTGAGTAATCATATGAGCATCACGGCATGAATAAATCAGTTTTGCATGGATTTTTCACTTTTGGAATATGCAGAAATGGTATAGGTTTTACCTCTAAATGTTGATTGCTTTCAAAAACAGAATGGCTGGATATTTTCTTAATAGAAGATCGTGTAATCCTTTGATCAGGTGTAGCAATATTTCGAGCTTTAAGATCCTGCAGCGCCGTTCGTTCAACAGATTTTTGATGAACCTAAAAATTTGAATTGTTTGAGGGGGAGAGACCGAAAAAAAAAAAAAAAAAAATGTATGAGTTTTATATTTAGCTTCTTATTGTGGTGACGTTTTGAGTCTCTCGTTATGATAAGCTCCAATGTAACAGTGCTGCTTTATAGGACACGGTCATTGAGTAATCATATGAGCATCACGGCATGAATAAATCAGGTTTGCATGGATTTTTCACTTTTGGAATGTGCAGAAATGGTATAGGTTTTACCTCTAAATGTTGATTGCTTTCAAAAGCAGAATGGCTGGATATTTTCTTAGAAGAAGATCGTGTAATCCTTTGGTCAGGTGTAGCAATATTAAGAGCTGTAAGGTCCTGCAGTGGTGTTCGTTCAACAGATCTATGAGCCTAATAATAGAAAGAATTGTTCGGGGGTTGGAGCAGGAAATACAATTTATGATGTATCAGTTTCCTATATTGCTTCTAAATGGGTTATAGATTTATGATAAACTCAAATGTAACAGTGCTGTTTTATAAGACCCTGTCATTGAGTATAGTTTTAACAAGTATGACCATCACAACATGAATTAATAAGGTTTTAATGGATTTTTGACATATGGAATGTGCAGAAGAGTGCATTTACCTTTAGACGTTGATTGCTTTCAAAATCAGAATGGCTGGATATTTTCTTGGAAGAAGATCGTGTAATCCTTTCATCAGGTGTAGCAATAATTAGAGCTGTACGGTCCTGCAGGGGCGTTCGTTCAAGAGATCTAGGATGAGCCTAATAATAGGAAGAATTGTTCGGAGGTTAAGGAGAGGGGGGGAAAAAAATGTATGATGTATCAGTTTCCTATACAGCTTCTAAATGTGTTATATCTTTATGATAAACTCAAATGTAACAGTGCAGCTTTATAAGACCCCGTCATTGAGTATATTTTTTTAACAAGTATGATCACAGCATGCATTAATATGGTTTTAAAGGAGTTTTGACATATGGAATGTGCAGAAGAGTGCATTTACCTTTAGATGTTGATTGCTTTCAAAAGCAGAATGGCTGGATATTTTCTTGGAAGAAGATCGTGTAATCCTTTGGTCAGGTGTAGCTATATTTAGAGCTATGAGGGGCGTTCGTTCAACAGATTTAGGAGGAGCCTAATAATAGGAAGAATTGTAGAGGACATAAAGCAAAGAGAGGAGCCAGCTGCCTTCTTGAACATACACTGCTACTTCATTGAGAAATGGCACTCGTGAACACGCCATTCCTCCACTAACCAACATAAATCCTGTACTCCTACCGCCAGTAAATAAGGCACCTATTGCATGTGCATTAGGTCCCCCTGCCGGTTGGTGTCGGTGGGGGAGGAGCAGGGGCAGAGTCTGAACTAGCACCAAGGGACATCCATTCTAGAATAAAGTAAGTGGCAGAAAGGGTTTTAAACCCACAAGGTAGGGGTTGCACTACAGGGAGCTATACTACCAGGAGAAAAAATAAAAAAACTGTTTTCCTGGCACTATAGTTTCCCTTTAATGTAGTTGTTCTGGTGAGTCTATTAAGTGCTGCTTCATATAATGCTTTTGAGTAAACTCAGAACAAGTATAAACATTACAGAATGAATAATCAGGTTTGCATGAATTTTTCAAATTCGCAATGTGCAAAACTGGTAAGGCTTTACCTTTACATGTGGATTGCTTTCAAAAGCATGATGGCTGGATATTTTCTTGGAAGAAGATCGTGTAATCCTTTGATCAGGTGTAGCAATATTAAGAGCTGAAAGGTCCTGCAGTGGGGTTCGTTCAACAGATTTAAGATGAGCCTAATAATAGGAAAAATTGTTTGAGGGTTAAGGAGAGGGAAAAAATGTACACTGTATCGGTTTCCTATATAGCTTCTAATTGTGTTATATGGTTATGATAACCTCAAATGTAACAGTGATGATTTACAGAACACTCATTGAGTATACTCAAAAGTATAAATATCACAGCATGAATAAATCAGGTTTACATGGAATTTTCAGAATGTGCAGAACTGGTACAGGATTTACCTTTAAATGTTGATTGCTTTCAAAAGCAGAATGGCTGGATATTTTCTTGGAAGAAGATCGTGTAATCCTTTGGTCAGGTGTAGCAATATTTAGGGCTGTAAGGTCACGCAATGGCGTTCTTTCAACATATTTAGGATAAGCCTAATAGAAAGAAAAAATTGGGGGTTACAGCAGAAGAAGAAAAAAATATGCATTTGTTTGCAAGCTTTCTTGCTTAAATGTATATGTAATATCTGCAAAATAAAGAAAATCTAGAATTGTTTTGCAGGGCAAGCTTAATTATTGTTGGCCCGCTTATTGTGTAAAGGATTTTTAGGTGATACATTAGCATTATACATGCAAATAATTTAGGCAATATAAACATTTAAGCATATACTTATTGCTATTTTCTCTTCCTCATCAATCAATATGGCAGCATTAACTAATGAGTTAGCTCCTCCTCTCACAGCATAAAGTTCAGAACACAAAATTCTTTAATTAGTATACATAGAAGTGACGATAAAAATAATTAGCACTAGAGTCCAGAAATATTTTAAGATGTTATGGCGGTAAACCCTGCCAGCATTACCTGTGTAAAGATAACAAGTATACCAAATACTACAGGAGTTTCATTAAAGTGGCAGTGCTACGCAACTGGAAATATACAAACACACACAAAGAGATAACACAAAAGTACAGAGTCAAATAATATCTCAGGTACCTGCAAAGAAACTATTAATTATTATGATATATACAGTATTTAGGATTTTATATATCTACAACTAGAAACACTACGTATCAGAGAATATTAGTCAACAAAAGAAGGGACATCAAACACAGAGTTGAGTCCCAAGAACTTCCTAGTTCTTTTACCATCTTGGTAATGTAATTTATGTTTATATCCCCACCCACCCCTTATGGACAAAACTATTGGCCTGCTAAAAGAGGACCCTTTTTAACAGCTGTGAAAGAAAAACTGTCTGATGGGAGCAGCTCTATTTGCATGGATTTCAGAATTCTGTTTGTTGTCATTTCTGCTGTTGGAGGAGGGGTAACACCATGGGGTAATCTTGTCATGTCGATTGATCAGGAATAAAGGATTACTCAAATTTAAATAGGTTTAAATTAAAATGCCACAAAACAAATCTTACAAGCGGCTATACACCATGATAACAGGGTTTACACTTACTGCATTCACTGATGGAACCTGGTTTTCGGTAGACATCTTTTGTTGGGGACAACATATATTTTTGCTATTAAGCCAAAAAAAAAAAAAAAAAGTAACATTACCCGGTGAATCACAAAACAAAAAAAATAATCTATACATCTTTTGACAATCTTGCTAGAACATGTACACATGTGCATGCAAGGTTGGCTTTTTTTCTGGCAGTGATGTATACCCGCAAGCGTCATGTGTACATCGTTGCCAGAGTTATCAAATTTAGAAGTTATAATAAACTCTAAGAAAATTTATGAAGCTTTTTAATATGCACCTAAGGAAAAAAAATATGAAACCTCACCCTGGAAGATAGGGACACTTTTTATTTTTGACAATGTTTATTTATACAAGATTTCCCCAAGAATACTTTTACTAATCCGCAAAGGGGTCCCGTTTGGTCTTCAGTGTTCAGACCCATCAAACTCTACTGTGTTTGTGTACTAAACTCCAAATTATTATTATTCTTATGTTATTATTTATATAGCGCCAACAAATTGCGCAGCGCTTTACAGCGGGTGGACAAACAACGATATTTTAAAAATCCAAATGGCAAGAGGTCAGACTAAAGTAGCCAAGCTGGAGCCATAACAGAGTCTGAGTGGGAAGTTTGTTTCCAGAGCAGCTGCTTTAGCCTAGTTTTAGCCATTCTGGTTTCAGTTCGGATTTTGGTGAATAACAGCCCCCCCCCGCCCCCCAGCTGCTCTGTATTATAGCAAATTACCCACACCTGGTCACATGGCAGGGCAGCCACAGCAGGTGTACTGCCTTCTTATCCCTAGCTCTCTAAAACTCCCGCCATGTGACCCATGGACACCACTCCACCCCATTACACTGCCCCAGCCCACCTACCGCACCCACTTACCGCCACTATTTAACTTCTTAACCCCCCAACCCTTCACCGTCAGTCAGCCCGACCCCGCCAGCCGTTCAAATCACCATCGCCAACGGCGATTGGCTAAACGTCAACCAATCCCCGCCCGCAATCCATCTGCGTTCCAAGCCTCGTTTTCAGCGGCCAATCGGCTGCTTAGCAGAGCTGATCCCATGCTGGCGGTTTGTTTACATGCTGTGCTGCATTGTGGGGGTCCATGTGTGCAGTAAGGACAGGCAGGGGGACCTGGAGCCGGGTATTCACAGCTCCAACAACATGGCTACCACAGCTGGAGTGTCACATAGCCATTACAGCACTAAATAGCTCTGTGTTATTCTGTAAAACCCATGCCAGTCTATTCAATGGAGATATAGGCAAGATAAGGTTTTCATGGAAACATGTTGGTGCTGATGGACAAGACAGGAGGGGGAGGAGGTCCATAAGATTATTGGAGAGAGACTAATATTGGCATTTCAAGAGTTAATTGGAAAAGGGATTAATAGTGAATTAATCTAATTTAATAACAGGGGTTCATGTTGTAGTTTGAAGCTGTCTGTGCAGCAAGTTGATACATTGTGTATATTACTATTGGAAATCTCAGCAGTGGCTGGAATTTAAACCCTCAAGAATGTAGGTAATTGTCCAAATATGCCCAGTCTTTTTAGTTAGCCACTTAGTCACAAACCATGGCCAACGGTCATGTTCATATTCGGGTTCTTTGCATTTTTCACACACGCAAACTGCCTTTTCTTTTTTTTTCAATTTGACAATACAAACTGCCTTTTCAACGAGGATATCATCGGTATACGTTTTACTGCTCTAAAACACTAATATTTGTGTTCAGGGATATCTCACGAGTACAACAGTACTTCCAATGTACAGGTATTTGGAAAGTTATAGGGTCAAATTTACGGCTTGCAAATTTAATGCTCTGGACTTTCTGGCTGGGTTATTAAAAACACAATTATGTAAAAGTAATACAAAAATATACACGTAGAATGAATATATATATATATATATATATATATATGTGTATATATAAAAACATTTCCCCACCATAACCTATTTGTATTTTGCTTCCCAAGCCTCAGTAAGCAAACCAATAACCAACCTCATGCTGATGGTTTGCATTAACAATGAAACAGCTGTCCATGAGTGGCTTACTGGCTTTGCATCTTTTCCTAAGTTGTGTTTCAAAGCTGTTGTATACAGGAAACAGATTCAAATTAATCCATGTTTAACCCCTTAACGCTGTTACGGTGTTCTATGCCATCCCTCATTAAATGGGCTTTAAAGCCGTTGCGGCAGCATAGAACGAAGTAGCGGCTTTTAGCCCCAGGAGCTCGGAGGGTCTTACCACCGCCGCTCAGAGGTACTCTCCACCAGCAGGGGCACTGTCTGAAATGTCAGACAGTCCCCATGCTGGTGAGTAGTGTAAAAAAATAAAAATAAACATGTTTAAAATTAATTAAAAGTGTGTGTGTGTGTATATGTGTGTGTAACATCATACGTATTGTATTTTAATATTAATATAAGTACATATATTAGTATTAAAATACACTTTAGAATGACGTTACATATATACAAGGTGTGTGTGTGTATGTATATGTGTGTGTAAAGGACCACTATAGTGCCAGGAAAACATACTCGTTTTCCTGGCACTATAGTGCCCTGAGGGTGCCCCCACCCTCAGGGTCCCCCTCCCGCCGGGCTCTGGAGAGAGGAAGGGGTTAAACACTTACCTTTCTCCAGCACCGGGCGGGGAGCTGTACTCCTCCTCTCCTCCTTGCTCGCGACGTCATCGGCTGAATGCGCACGCGCATTCAGCCGGTCGCATAGGAAAGCATTTACAATGCTTTCCTATAGACGCTTCCGTGCTCTCACTGTGATTTTCACAGTGAGAAGCACGCAAGCGCCTCTAGCGGCTGTCAATGAGACAGCCACTAGAGGCTCTGGAGGCTGGATTAACCCTCAGTATAAACATAGTTTCTCTGAAACTGCTATGTTTATAAA